GGAATGTCATGCATGGGTAGTTTGGTTTCCATTGTGGACTACACCCAACTCGATTCAATGCCTTCTATTTTTGGCAGTGGCCAGGGTGGATCATCGCTGCTTGTCTTAAGCCGTGCGAACTTGGGTTTTCCACTACTTCCCAGAAGCTCTGCAAGACTTGAGTCTCCAGCTTCTGCTCTTTTTGTTGTCCCACTCGACTCATCCCTGTCACTACGAAGCTTGGCTTAACTAGGAAGTACATTGCTTGTTCTTGGAGGTCTTGGAAAGTCCATTGCGGAGTTGATTCTGTCTGTGTTTGACCTCTCACTCATGGGATTCGCCGTGTTTGCTCAAAGTCTTGCTCGTATTGACTTAGCAACGTTTCCGATAGAAGTGGCAAACATTGGTTTCTCCTTACTTGCCCGGAGCTTTGCCTGTCTTGACTTGTTGTTGTCAGTTGTTGAAGCGGTACAACTTGAATTCTCGATGCCTATACAACAATTCCTTCGAGTTGGATTTTTCACGTTTCCCCTTGCTGTCGCACGTACAGGGTCACCGGCCTCCGTTTTTGCTTGGGCTGAGATCGGCTCACCGCTGTTGGTTCAAAGTGCGGTGAAGTCAGATTCAGTTCTGTTGATTTTGAACACAGCTTCGATAGGATTCTCCACGTCTCCACAAACATTTGCATGACTAGACTTAGTCGTGCCTGCCTTAGACTTTCTACACCCCGGCAGTTTGTCATTGCTCAAAAGCCTGGCACATGTTGGTTTTTCGCCCTCTTCCATTGGGCAATCGAAACCTTTTAACGTTGCGTTGCTGTCTGTCAATGACTTCTTTGTTGTAGGCAGTGCCACTTCTGTACGATCATATACTTGTTCGGGATCCGCAATTCTAATGCTTGAATTGGCGCAAATGGACTTGATGCTGTCACTTCAAAGCCTTGCGTATCTTGATTTGTTGCTGTTTGCCTTGAACTGCGTTCACGTCGAATCCTCGCTTCTTTTGCAAGAGTCCGCTTGCTGCAGCAGTTCACTCTCGATTCTTGGACTAGCTTGGTTAGCGCTGCCAGTATTTGTGTTCGACCATACTTTAGTTGACTTTTCTGTGCCTGCGCAGTCGTCGGTTCAACTTGCTTTGGGGCTTCCAGTCGTGGACTTTGCAATTATAGGCTTTCCATCATTCTTACAAAGCTTCAGTCGCTTTGATCTTCCAGCTTTGGTATTTGATTACTTGAGATTGGGATTTTCACTGCCAACACAAGGTTCCATGTGTATGGGACTCTTGGCATCAACGGCTGGTGGACCTCGTATTGGCTTGGCCTTACTGGTGATATGCAACGCAAACCTCGGCTCCAGTTTGAGTTTGAGAACTTTTGCAAAGCTGGGCTCCAGCGTCCCAGTCCTTAGCTTTTCAGGCATAGAATTGAGTGTGTTCGTGCGTTCTTCTGCCCGTTCAGACTCTTCTACCTCAGCGTTTGAACCTGCGAAGATGGGGTTGTCTTCGTTCTTGCAAGGTTTTGTTCAATTGGACTTTCTCCTTTTGATTTTGGGGGAAGTCAAGCATGCAGCCACTCTCTATGGATATGGTGATGGAATGGTCGGCGGTGGCACTAGCGTCAACGCTAGGGTTGACGTCTTGAGCCTATCGCTCCTGAACTACATTCACCTCGATCCAGGCCAGATCCGGGCCACGAAGCGATACTTGGAAAAAGGTATACAGATGTATAGAATTGTATAGACCTAATACAGTCTCATAACAGTGTCATACAGTGCTACAACATGCTACATGCTACACAATATAGACCTATATAGCCTATATAGACCTATTCAAGGACATAACATTTCACAAACCATTTCACATCGTTCACATCGTTTTAGTAGGGTGATGTGGCCCTTAAGCCATGGGTCATGGGGCAGGCGTACTTCTGCGAAGCTTTGCTCACCTTGCCCCCTCCATCTCGGCCTTGAAGGCAGGAAACATGCAGCTGATCATGGCAAGTACCATGAGTCCGTGCAACTCACATCAAAGATTCACAGGATATACAGTTCTTATATGTTCTTATCACGCAAAGTATAAAATTTGGATAAATTTGGACCCATCACAGATAGACATCGCCGTACATTACCAGTTGATGCCAAACGACCTCAGATAACCTTGGCCCGCCTGTGCATTGCGACGAGGTCTTTCACGTGGGTTCTTCGTTGTTGACTCGAAGCCCAAGCCGTCCAGGCTCCCACTTTTCGCTTTGCGGTGCCTCAGCTGCACGCCATGCTCCAGGCATCTTCAGTTCAGTGTTCCACGTCAACGTGTTGCTGCGTTGCCAGCAAACAATGTTTAGCCGTTTAGCCAACTAGAATAGAAAATAGTACAGAAAGGATGGAAGATTAGATTATCTAAGTGTCATCGATAACTTTAGGAATCATCATGACTTGCACCGGGTCTTCTTTTCTCCAAAAGTCAAACAAGTTCTTTGAAAAACAAGAAATTTGCCACGGGGCGGCTACGAGGTTTGGCTCGAATGAGGAGTTTGCTGTCGATCTTCAGCTCTTCCACGCCGGGATCATCGCCTTCACCGCGAAGCTTTGCATGCCTTGATTTCAGCCTGTCGGTCAGACTCCCAGTGTCACAAATCAAGGACGAATAAAGTTTAACAAAGAACACTTAGGACATCACGTCAACATACGTCAACCCTTTGGGGTCAGGAAATAGAACCTGAATTTGAATTATTTGAATTATATTCAGACTTGTGGTTCAATGCAGCAGTCCTAGATCAATTGCAAATATGTCATGAACATTGAGGAAAAATGTCATGAAACATGTTCGCCCCAACCCGGACGTTTCTCCATATCCACATAACATGCCCGAACAGTATCATATACTTGTCACAAGAGGATGAACGAAAACACTGGCTATACGCAGCGATGTTGACTTTAGCTTTGAGGATTTGGTTTTTAGGGTTTCAGGGTTTTAGGGTTTATTGCTTTGGAAAGTTTATAAACGCTAGCTCTGCGCAGGGATTTGAGCATGTCTCTAGGGACATGCGGGATCAGCATGGAGAAACATCAGGGCTCCAGCAAAACATAGCAAAACATGTTTCACATGTCACTGGAAGATCTGGAAGGGAACTGAGCGCCATTCTGTGCCAAGATTTTGGACAATGCCCACCTTGGTTCGTTGCTTTCAATGCGATCTCTTGGGCAACCGGACTTGGCTGTCCCGGTCTTCGACTTCGCCCATGCAGAGTTCCCATTGTCATCGCATGGTTCCCTTCAATCAGGCCACCGGTACAAAAACTGAGAAGTTCATGGTGATTTTGTGGTGATTTTTGGTGTGATTTTATAGTCTGATTCTGTGATTGGTATGATGATTTGGGATGCAGCTTTCGAAATTTTAGTGCCAAAAAACGTCTTGAATTATGTAGATTGGGCCCACAGCGAATCCAACCAACGAATATTTAGAGGGTGTGACAGGGACAGCAACAGCTGCCAGGTTTCTCGTTGTCCGTCAACCTTGAGCGAAGGTCTCTTGCCAAAGTCTCACAGGAGATAGCTGCAGGAGCACTCTGAGTGGGGACACTGCAACCCAATTGGTTACCATTTCCAAACAATTTTACCGGGGCACATGACCCATTGTTAGACAAACCCGTGTAATTTTGTGATATATTCTCAGTCGACCTGTCTAAAGCAGGGCGCACAACGAGCCACGGTTGGGGCATGAGGGTTCCGTTTTGCAAGCCACATGGCCACATCTTCAATTTCGCCCAGGCTCTGTGATTTCTCTGTCCATGACTTTCAGGCGGATGCTGAGCCCTGTCATGTCACAGAGCGCAGCAGATTTACACTTCGACTGATCGATCCTAATGAATACTGCATATACTGCAGTGCTAATGATTAATTTTTCCCGGCAACTTGGCATCTTATCACTTGTATGTTCGTAGATTTCAAAGTGGAACAGAGTTTCTCGAAATACAAGATCTTGAGTTCTAGAGAAGTCAGAATTCCTTATGTGTGTCTCAAGAATCCGTCACTTAACTGTACCTGCATTGAAACCTCTGGAGATTCAGACTCTGCATTTAAGTGTTTTCAAACAGATTGGATCGCATGAAATCGTTCGCAAAGCCCAAAAATACCAGAACTCAGCCACACTTTTGCTGACAAGTCCCCCAAGTCATCAATAGTCAATTCAATAGTCGTCAGGTGTTGGGGTTTGCGATGTTTGTGCGATCCTCCGCTCACACGGGCCCTGCCATCTCCGTCTTCGGCGAGAAACCCCAGTGACAAAAAACAGTGATTTTTGGCATTCGTATTTGTTGAGTCGCGCAAGTCGTTTCTGGTCGTTTCTGTTGAGCTTTCAGATTCGAAAAAAAACCGTTCCTGTGGTTCGTGTCATTGAAAAATCTTCGTAGAGACGAAAAGCAAATGAAAATGATGAAATATGATGAATGCTATTTTATATTTTAGAGCAACCATGATGTTGACAACATCACGGACCGTATCTCACGAGATGTTTGTGTGTGCCCTTCACAAATTCCAAAAAGATTCTTTTGGTCAATGGCACCACGGCATGGCCGGCATGGCGCCAAGATTTTGTACATCTTGGACCATCGACATCATTGAGACAGTTCGCATGACTCGGAAGCTCACCATCGATCCGTGACAAGGTGCACAAGGGCAGTGCAGCATGGCAAATAGGATAAATAGGTGGTTTACAGCATGTTAAAGCTTGAAAACATTTGAAAACCTTTCAATCTTGGAGGATATTGAAAGTTTTGGCAAAGTTTGGAAGATTTTAGAGAGATTCAAAGCTCACACGCCGGGGTCCATGACATTTTCCACCGTCATTTTCCACCGGACAGGTCTTTGCCACGGATGTCTCGGTGACCACGGCCTGGCCGGTGGGTTTCACTCCAAAAGTCCCAGTCATCGCAGCGGCCTCGGTGACCAGTGGTGACCAGTGGTGACCATCCCTGTGTGGTGACCATCCCACCTTTTCCATCATTTCCCACCATTTCCTGCCCCAGGCAGTCGCCCATTTGGGCTCTTCGCCATCTGTCAGGACGCGTTTTGTGGATGTTTTTCAGTTAACGAGAGCGCCAAGCGCTGTTTCTCGAAGGAACATGGCTCGCCAAAACTCTTCGCCATTATTGCTTGGAATCAGCCGAATAGGCGACGGTCAAAGGTTTTCTGCAGAGCTTGTGGTTGCAACAAATTGACTATTATGTGTATATATGTTTATAGTGTACATGTTTCCATGATCAAAAAAACACGGGAAGTTTTCTCAGAAATTTTGTGCGATTATGTCAGGCTCTCCATTTTCCGTGTTCGGAATGGGGTACTTGGAGTTTGAATCTGAGAGCGGTTTCTACACAGCGGTTACCACAGGTCTGAATCATTCCACGGACTCCACGGACTCCTCCAAACTAAGGTCTTCAATCTCCATGCGGTCGTTTGCGCATCTTGACCTGTCCGTCTTGGTCCGGAGCCTACACTCACTGTAAAAAGAAACCAAACAGATCATTCCTGGCCTGGCAGATCTGTCAAACCGGTACAAAATGTGGATGACCTAGGCCTTTGAATTCGGCCACTTTGACTTCTTGCTTTCTCTTCAAGGCGATCACAAGTGAAGCTATGAAAATCTGCAGCATCCATCAGAATCCTACACTGAGACGGTTGGTGTATTCAATCCAGGACTCGTTTGCCTTGGTTTCTCGACTTCGCACACTGGCCAAGCTAGGCGCAGGGCACGTTAGGAGAGTGTCCCCGCTCGGAAGGGACAGGTCGGACAGGTTGGACAGGTTGGATAGGTACAATATAGGTACAATGATGGTACAATAAGATGATAAAAACTTGTGAAAATGTGCCGACACTGTGTGCAGGTCTCCGTTAGAATTTGCGATGTGAAAGTCCTGCGTATAAAATTAGCATGTACAACGATGACGGTTGTGAAGCAGATGTGTTGAGCCGATTCGTTTCATCCGGCACCTCCATTTATGGTCCATGTGACAGGTCGAAGTGACTTTCTCTGAGCGCAGGTTCCCTTACACTGAGCTTACCCTCACCACGGGTATGTCGGTCTTGAGCATGACCAACCTCGACAGCGCGGTGTTTGTAAGGCAGGGGTTTGGTTCGAGCAGTTGGCCAACACCAGTCACTGCTGTAGGACACGAAGCACTCAGGTTGACATACGTTTTACACGTTGACTGTTGCCTGCTTTGGGGAGGTAAATTCGGAAAAGCTTCGACTGCTTATTGGTGGATAACCCAACCACGGAGCCACTCTTTGATCTCTTTGCTCGCTCTGAGCGGCAAACGCAGGAGCTTCGCACGGTTCGATTTGGCGTTTTTCATCATGGATCTTTCACAAGCGGGCTCACCCATGGTTGCTTGGCCAAATCAGAGCTGTTGGCATGCTAAACTTCAAAGCCACTCCAGAACAAGGCATTTTGCTAGGCCAATGGAAATGCAAATTTGACTGGATCCAATGGCATGACCACTGGGTTGGACGACATTTCTGATTCTAACTATGTCTATATATTTCTATCGATTTCTATTTTCTATCTATTTCTAACCCACAGGAAGTGTGCGGAACAAATCCATCCATCCTTCACAGCCTCTGTCCTGACTAAGTCTTTACAAAGCCGTGCGGATCCTCAGCCTTGCGTTCGTTCGGCCCCAAAGATCCGAAAGGGATGAGCAAGTTTTTCAACAGTTGCCACCTCTATTAGGCAAATGAGGCAAATGAGGCAAATGGCAAGACAAAGCTGCACTCTTTTGAGGATGATCTATGTCAAAAAATGTCAAATATGATATCTATGTCATATCTATGTCATATAAGCAATAAAAAAAAGTGTGTTCTTGGAAAGTCCAGATTGAAATCTGCACAGCTGACCCGACCCCAAACCGAATCGCTGGGAAAGCCACGGCTCAGTATCTCGAATGGGACCTGCCACGTCATCGTTTGGAAGGCGAGATGAAAGTGACGAACGGTGAACAATGAACCGCGCAGAGTTTGGAAATGTGGGATCAAACTGAATCAAACTGGACTCAACATGACTCAACCATATTGAAAGGAGTATTATACAAGATGGAAAGGGCTTAGACCATGCTGGAGATGGAAAGGGCTGATATTCTCAGGGCTTCACAAGAAGCGACGCCGAATGACGCCGATGATCCTTCTCACTTCCCTTGGTGGCAACCTGTGGCAATTCACTGCTGCCGTTGCCGTTCTGCAGGAGTCGATTTTCATCCTCCATTTCGGCCTTTGACTTCAGCCACCCTGGCATGACTTCGCAATGTTGAGAATGCCCAAACACCGAGCCCCAGATCCCTTTTTGATATATGTTTTAAGGGGGGTTGTTATGTTTGTTGGAGCTTACAAGGTACTTAGCTAAGTTGGTTTATAAGTAAGTTATCTGGAGGTTATGGTAGATATACTTAGATGATTTTAGATGGGTTCATGAACCGACAACGGGCGGGCACCACCTTGAAAGCAAAATACGCAATGCACTCAGCTCTCAGGGCATCTCAGGACTAGGTCCCTAAATGGCATGGCAGTCTGCACAACCTCTGCAGGTGTTTGAATACATGTTCCACGAACGGCAAAAATGGTTGAGGAAAAGCAGAGCTTTTGGAAAGTTCATTTTCAAAATTTGCATAAAGCTGTGGAGTCGGTCAATACAACTGTTCCTTTGCCTAGAATGGCGGAAATGGCAGGTCATCTTGGCTTTTCTATGTCGCTAAGAGCCTTCACTCAGCTCGGTTCCAGCGCGGGAGCCAAGTTTGCAGGGCAAGGTCTTGTATGCGTTGTATGCTTTTGCTGGTGCAATGGTGATGAAAAGCTTTGAATCGTGTTGTCGAGAGCGTCAAATGCATCGAACTTTTGTCCATCTGCGCCGCGCTAAGATTTGTCCATCAACGGGGGCACGAAGTTGCTGTTCAACACCGACCAGAAGGTTATCCACCTTGGCGCTGCAACAAGCAACACGTACGCTCGTCAGAAGGAGGGTATTGCAATGTACTGCAAATGATCGCAGATTGCAGAGTGAAAATATGTAAACAGCTCATTAGGCTTCCTCCAAGCAGAAGGCTTCAGGTTCATTGAGGACTTCAAATTGGAGAGTTTCGCTTAGGGAGGACCTTGGCTCACATCATGTTTTCTTTTTTGATGAGTTAACAGCCATGTTCATTCTGATGGAAAGAGGTAAGGACAAGAACGTCAGAGTGGCTTTCCATACTCTCATCAGAATATTTTGGAGTCGATAGCCTTCAAAGTGTTGGCTGACATGCTCAAATAGACGGTTGAAGCTTTGGCTTCGATTTAAGTGGTTATTTGTGTCAGAGCGTTTCAGGTATGTCTACTACGACACTGCAGCGGCAAACCAGAAAGTCGGCTTTTACTTCAACAACTTTGAGGCCTTCTCCTCACTCTTTCACTAATGCTTGATACCGTATGATACCACAGATCCTACCCATGGCAGTTGCCCCAAGGCAACCAGGATGAAGTTGGGGAGAGAAACTGTGACCTTCTGCGTCAGATGCGATCTTGAAAAGGATGAGTTGTTCGATTGCAACGGCGGCACTGTGATGAGTTCGTGACCAGTGCTGCAGAGCTACCATCCGCAAGGCCATTTTGATGGAAGACAATCCAAGAGGACAGCTACATGGCACTTGGGTGGCAGATGCCGGGTACACCGAATCGTGCGCCACTCAGACTGCCTCTCACACATTGGCCTTTCAAAATTCATCAAGATATCTTTGCTTGACTACATTGACTACATGTGCAAACCTGGAAATATGATGCTTCACGATGCTTCACGATGCTTCACGATGCTTCATGTCTCTTTCTCAAGAGAAATCTGGGAGAGTGCCCAAGAGAAAAGAAAAGGCCAAGAAACTGCGTTGGTGGCTCTCTGGCTGAGGGATCGAAGACTGAAAAAGGACATCAAGCCTTTGAGAAGGACGTTAGCAGAGTTCCAGGCTGACTGAGCAGCATCTCATGTTGATCATTTTCTGAATCGGAACTGAGAACGAATGATTCAGGACAGGAAAGATCCCAAAACGTTCGCAGGAAAAACAAGTAAGCTTCAAATTCTTGGACAAGACCCTAGAAACACACCATGTTGGCAAAGTCTCTCCAAGTCAATTCTGAACGATTCTTGACGATTCCATGTTCCATGTCAGGCTGAGAAAGTTGAGGCTAGAACCATCCGAGGCGCGGCCAACGGGGAGTGTCTTCGACAGATCAGGCCGAAGGCGAATCGGAATATATACTGAGCATATAATGCGATGTAATGAGCATTTCGGAATGTGCTGTGTTGTTTTGCTGGAAAGTTGTCGAATACCAGAGAAAACGTGACTGTCACATGCACATTCGCGCCGTGGGAGGCCCGCATGTGTTGAGTCCGGCTTTGGTTTTTACAGGGTTTACAAAAAAATGTGTTTTGTTTTGATTGAATCCTTGGGTCTATCACATGTGCATTGTAGATTGTGAACCGGGTTTGCTGTCTACAAGAATTTCCAAGGCGAATCTAGCGCCGAGGATGGTGCCTTGTGGACACTCCGGCTTGGCCCTTAGTGTCATGATATGTCATGATGAAGGCAAACTGGAACCACTTCGGATGGCCCAAAAGCACAGCAGGGCAGCGCCGCTTTGCCAATCTATCCTCTCAGTGCAAGCTGCAGCTGGAAGAAACCCTCGGCCATGATCGGGTGTGTTCCAACGAAATCCGAAAGGTCCCAAGGGTCCTTGGCACTGCAAATGAAGCAGAAAAAATCGGGAAATAGAATAAAATAGCTACTCTACCGCAACGTTTGGGAATGGCAAGCATCAAGGCTGATGCTTCAGATGTTGATCTTGCGCAACTTGACTCCGGCAGATTCCCTCATCTCCCCTCCAAGAGCTCCAAGAGCTCCAAGAGCTCCAAGACATGCCATGGCAATGCCATGGCAATGTGCCTCAGGCAACTTCGACCAGTGTCCTATTACTTCAAACAGGGCTCTGAGTCCAAGTACATGCGATTCGGTTTCATCGGTCCGGCACCTGAGCGGGTGTGAAACTTCGGCAACCGCAGAAAGCAAAGATCATCAATAAATCTATATAAATCTTCAAAAAGTCATCAATAAGATCTTGAAACATCTGAAAGCAGAAAACATTCCTCAAGTCTTTTCGAACCTCAATTCACACAGATGACAACATTGGTTTTAGTTTTGAGGTCGTTTGAAAACAAAGTATTTGTACTTAGCTGCCTTAGCTACACTGCTACACTATTGAAAGCCACTTCGCCGCGACACAGTGGTCCATGGCTGCATTGGACCGTGGAATGACCCTTCACATCCCTTCACCTTCGCCGATGACCCACTGCCACCTGCCACCTGCCGCCAGCCGACGAGCTCGAGAGTGTGGTGCCCAACCTGGTGAGAGCAAGTGGCGATTCGAAGTCAGGTGGGATCACAAGCCAAGATCAAGATCGAGAAAGATCAAGAAAGACAGTGGACTCTGTCTATGCATTGTTCATATTGTTCGCTTTGCGTAATCTTAATACGACTGAGAGTAAAGGTTTCAAGTTTACGATATGCCCGTTCAAGTGCTTTGACAAGGCTCAAGTGTTTGAAAACTCCCAAAGGTCTCTAACCTGAAAGCATACACGACATACTAGATCTCCCTCTAAGCGATCTTGGCCATAGGAACAAATCCAAGTAAACTTATGGGAACTTGTTTGGGAACTTGTTGAATTTTATATGACGGAAGATGTTTTCTTGGATTCTGAATGAACTCTCCCCGCATCCGTGCCAGGTCTGCAGGATGCCAAGGGCATTCAGATCAACGTGCCCCGGAAACGAATCAGATCAAGTTATGTTTGCTATGTTCATGATATGTTCATGATGTTACAATGATATACAATGATATACAATGATGTTCATGTTTCCTTCTTAAGTTCGTGGCTGAAATTCTTCTAGATGCACAGGACTCCCAAAAGGTTGAGAATTTCCGTAGGTTGTCAACCAGAACAAGCATTGAGTATCAGTATACAGTGTATACAGTATACCAATGTTTGCCATCACAATATTCTGGAAGATTCTGGATGTTGATGACGGGATGCTTCACTTCCTGGTGCACGAAAGGCGGAGGCGAAGCGAAATTGTGATTAAATCCGCGGTTCCCATACCATGGCGCTGTTTCAGTTAAAACCTATGCTTGAAGCAATTGATGTTTCAGTTTCTGCTCGGGTCGACAAGGAAAAAATCAAGGGATTAAATTGAATCGCTCAAAGCTTCGGCGATGTGCCGCCAAACTTCCGGAAGAAGATTTAAGCTGATTTGACCTGATTTCTCTTGCTTCAGTGGTTTCTTTCCGCCGAGGATATCATCGCTCTCTTGACCGCAGCTGGGCAAAGCCAACAGCAAGTCATTGATTCTCAGGCACAGCCTCCGAATTGATGCCATGATGCAGGGAAAGATCTGGAAATGGAATGAGATGAATGAGCAACCAAACGGCAACTTTTCGATACATGTTTCACTGTTGAAAGAACGTAATGTAGAAATGTGAAAAGGCAAGCAGGTTCAAACACATTGCTATGTCTTCGCGAATTGGCTGCCAGGAAAGGCTGATGGCAAGGGGCTCAGCGAGAGCATTTCTCGGGTTTTCCTTACCTCATCATTTAAGAAATAGATGGAAATCGTAGTTTAACGTTTTCGAAAGTTGCAAGAGATCATGGCAGTTTTGTTATGAACAGATATCCTTTTGCCACGCCGGTGTCAGGAATGTGTTATCACGTCTTGACACATTTTCCAAGCCACAGTTCTGCGATTGAGGATCAGGTCGAGGCAGAGTTCGAAGCCTTCAAAGCAGAGCTGAAAGTGCTGAACCAGCTCAAGGTGGTCACATCGCCACACCGCGCAAGGGTGTTTACAAACATTGGAAAACTGGATCTATTGGATCGAAAATGGGGAAGTCCACAGATGTCCACAGTTTGTTGTTTGAATTGGGCTCAGACTGCATGAAGGTGTGAGAAACAATCAACATGCTCAGCATGATCTCATATGATCTCAGCATTTCAGGAGAAGAAGAGGCAGGCGAACCGTGCCTTAGCCTGTGGTGCAACGCGCAAAAAACGCCGCCGCCCTTGGTGGCGCTGAGCGATGAGCGATGCTACGCAGCCTCGTTGAGCGGCTGGAGCAGAGAGCTGCAGCTCCGGCCGCGACGCCCGCTGTTCGCACCACACGGAGCCACTCGGAACTCGGGGCGGCCAAAAAGACCTCGGGAAATCCACGTAGAATATTATGACAATCTATGACACGTAGAATACATTAGAGCTCACATGACTTTGCACATGACTTTGCACGTGTCATAGTTGTCTTAAGGAAAAATATGTTCATCTATTTTGAAATGACAAATTGATGCATGCATTGCGAAGAAGCAACATCAAGGTTTGTGGATTTCCGGCGTCTCTTTGGTAGATGGTCTTGGATGTTTCGGTACAAAGTATACAAAACTGCGAAACATCGCCCCAACCAAAAACAACCAAAGATGACATTGGAAGGCAAATCCGAACACTTCAGGCCTAATGGCTACATGAGACCTTGCAGAAAGTCGTATCAAAGTTTTACGACCGAAGCATCAGCTTTGGGAAGGTCAGATATGTCACGAAATTATTGGAAATATGTTATAGTAATTTTGACCTTTCCTTAAGCACCTTACGCCAGGGTATCCGAGTGACTCTGTTGGAATTCTTTGAATTCAAACGCGCGCCTCATTTTTGCGCTAAAAGCCCGCGGCATGTTGCGGCACTTGGGGTAGGGCCATGGTTTCAATGCTCTGACACTCATTCCCCGAAGTGAGTGTAATAATACTTAGTAATGAATGTCAGCCCTGGGAAATAATTTCACGGCAAGAAAACTGAAAGCATTCATTGTGGATGATTGGATTGGCATGAACCAACGAAGAAGCAACCACAACGAACTTTGGACTATGTTCAACTCTTACTTGCAAACCTTGCTTAGAATCCTCACAATGTGCTTGACTTTGATTGATTTGACAAGGACCCTTGCTTGTTCACTTGAGCACGGGGGAAACATGAAAGGAAGCTGTTCTGGCAGGAGCATGTTTGTTCCAGAGAATGTCCATTGAGTCAAGAACAGTGGAAATTGATGATGGTATGGATGTGAATTTGGCCAAGATATGCCAAGATCATTGCTTGACCACATCGCTCTTGATATGGTTTCCAATGATGTCCAAGTTTGAAGGCTAGGCCCGGCTAGGCGAGGTTTGATTGTTGCAGTTGCAGTATTTCATGCCTCAAGCAGTAACTTTTTGGTGTGCCGAATGACAGATACGTTCTATGCTCAGCAATGGTCCCAATGGCCAAACGATAGAGTCTTGCAGATCTTGCAGATCGTGGTGGATGGTTTGCTCCAGTGACACGTTGCTCAATGCAGCAAGCTATAGCAGCTAGCCTGTTGGAACATGTTGGAACATGTTGGAACATGTTGGAACCATTGGAAGATCAGTAGCGCCATCAGACTGACCTTGAACCGAAACTGCACGCCCCAAGCCCCCTTTTGAGTTGAACATGTCAAGCCCATGTCAAGTTTGTCAAGACTTACGACCTTCAAAAGTCAAGCTTTACCTCCAAAAGGCTTCTCCGCGGGAGAACATTCCAGCAATTGTGAGGTCTGGAACACGTTGCAGAATGTTGGATAGTTTGATGTTTGAAATTGTGCGACTTGAAATGCGGAAGTTGTGAGTTGTTTTCCTTCTACACTTGGCACGTGGGGTTCAGAGGGACCACTTTTTAGGCAGGCAAGGTGTGCCTTCATGTCTCGACTGTCTCGAGCAGTCGTGATGACTGATGTGTGTAATTCGTTTTCCCTTCGCATCTCATCTCAGATTGTCTCATTTTGATTCATATGTCATATTATCAGATATCATATATCAGTTATCATATATCATGTCATATATCATGTATCATATGTCATATATCATGTCATGTATCATTTGTTGTTTTTGTTTCAAAACTGATAAACTGACTCAACAGAGTTAACACAGTTCCTGAGAGGCCCATGGATGATCGTACAGTGGGCTGGTCGCGGTGGAAGCAATTCCTCAGCCTCTCCAAGGAGGGCAAGCCGTACATTGCAGGCTTTGTCGTCTTCTCTCAGATTGGTAATGGAAATGATCCTAAGATATCCTAAGTGTACTTTTAAAAAAAAACGAAATCTCCATGAATACATAAATATGATTCATATGATTCATATGATTCATATGATTCATATGATTCATATGATTCATATGATTCATATGATTCATATGAATATATACTTTAGACTTTGGACAAATTCAAGCGTGGGAGTCTGAGACGCGCTACGTTGAGGAAGGAAGATTTTGGCAGTACGGTCAGTTGGTGGTGGTGGCTGCCGGGAAACTCAGTCGCTGAGAGAATCAAAGGATACCAAAGAAAATACCAAAAAGTTGTAGCGTAAAGAGGTTCAGTGAGAATTTGCCTCTGCTTAGCTCGTCTCGATCATTTGCTGGGTTTTCTGATAGAGGGCGAGACTGCGAGACTACCATGTATCATATGTATCTCAAAACTTACATGTCAAGATATGTCAAGATATGTCAAGACTTTTGAACGTTCAGGGATGGTCCCAGCCGGCTCCCAGCCTTGTCTGGCTTTCCCGGGTTTCCCACAGCGACCACGGCGAGGTGTTGGGCCTCTCCATCTCAGCCAGGAACTGAGGCTTCTCCTGAGACTCACCATTTGAGACCAAGAACTCCTTGCCCTCTTTGCAAAATTGTGAGAACTTGGTTTTTGTCCAAGAATCCGTGTGAGATCAAGATGTTGAAATAGAAATGACATGACCAAGGTGCTGTTCTGGGGGAGAACGGCGGACCAATGCTTAGAAGACAGAAGGCCATGCTCTCGGCATGTCGGCCACAAATGGCTGGAACAAGACGTACGTCGTGGAATGGACAGAAGTGAGCGTTTTGAAATGCTTTGAATAGCTGTTTGGGAGACATAGTGATACTGATAATTAAGCTCCTGATAAGGATTGTTAAGCATTCACGTTTATTTGATTCGGATCCATTAGGGACAGCGACAGACAGTTACTGAGTTTGTCAAGACACGGCCCCTGTACCCTGTACCCGACCCAATTCTCGAATCCTCCAGGCCAGCTCCGTTGAAAGAGGCCTGGCGGCCGGGTTTGGAAAATTGTAGCTGTAACGAAGAAGGTGCCACATTTATGCATATGTTATGCATCACACAAGCTGCACGCTGCCATCAGACGTAATCTCAGTAGAATTCAAACGTTTGTTTGCTTTGTGGCTTGAAATCATATGCATTTCATCTGCATTTCTTGTGTTTCTACTCAGTACGAGAATAGCAAACTGCAAAGAACCTGGTGTAGTGCAGTTTCTGCCCAACAGGATGCCCGGAATTTAAGTGCGGAAGCCAAGAAATCAGACAGCATTCCTCAGCTGGTATTCGAACATTATGTAAATACATGAATAATACAAAATCATACATGTTAATACTGTTAATATCTGTGTAGCTTCAGGAAACTCGTGTTCCAGTTTCAAACTGAATCTCAGCAAACGAATCACAAACGACCTCCGTACATCTCCGTACTTCAGGCAAGACATTGACTGCCAGCGAGGCTCGGAGCTGTGACACGGCATGAAAACGTCTCACGCTGTGCGGCCCTGTCAGGCAGTTCCGGAGTCAGAGGATCGCAGAGGCACAGATCACAGACGAATACTAATGCGATCTAATGCGGCAATGGCTCAGAAAACGTGACATTTCCATCAATTTTCGATTCCCATAACCTTTCCATCACGACATCACGACATAATTTCCCAAGTACTGTATCTCCAAGTGACATTGAAAGTCTCATGCTGCCACGTAATGCGGCAGGCGAAGCCGATGGCGATGGTTTGTTCTTTGAAATCTTGGATGCTTACGCGCATTTGCGACAAGAAACTCCGGGATGAAGCAAACATGCAGTGTTGTGTATGACTCGCTCATAGCCCAAATATGCATAGAGTCTGAAAGATGAAGTGTGCAACACATTAAAACGGGCGAACTTCAAAACGGAAAATCACTGGAATCGAAAAGGAAAGAAGGGAAAGAAGGGAAAGTCATGCAACTTGTCTCCATGGTATCATTGGTATCTGCATGAGTTTGCTGATTTCACCTGGCAGCACAATTGCCAGAAATTCAGAGAAATCTTTGAGCCGCCGCAATTTGTTGTAGCGAGCGTCTTCTTGCTCTGATTCATGGGCGAGTTCGCCTTAGTTCTCAGCCAAGTCCAACTGCTCAATTGACACGATTGTATACGATTGTTAAGATTGCGAGTCTTGATATTTTGCCAAGCCAACCATTTGCAGTGCTTTGTTCTTCCAGTTGTAAATACCATGATGCATTTATTTCCGCGCCAAGTCCTGTAAGATGCTTGAAGATGCTGTTAGCACAAGCCTGGCATTGCATTTTTCCGTCTGAGTTTCAACAACGTCATAAGTCAGCTCTGAGTGAAAAACATGCTACAAGGTCTACAAGAAGATGAGGAAGTGGACCAAGATGGAAGAATATGGAAGAGGAAAGAAAATGGAAGGGAAAAGGAAGGGAAAAGTGTTTTGCTCAGGTTGTTTAGAAACTAGAAGCACGAGGGACGCATTCATGCTGACCTGACATGGGCCAAGCATGGAAAGGCTCCTTTACGCAGATCACAAAGAGCTTAAAAAGCAGTGCGTTGAATCTATTGAATCTATTGAACATGTTGCTAAGGTTGCTAAGGTTGCTAAGGACCCATGTCTCCCACCATCTCGCACTCCCCATCGAATCTAGCAAGCCCTGTTGAAAACACTGTGGTTGCATTGTGCATTTCTTGCCTCGAATTCTTCTCATTTTACTATGTTAAACTATGTTTACTGATTTTTACTCCAAAACTTCGGATCTCGTTGCAGTCTAGTTTTCTAGCCATTGTGACCTCAACAGTGCGGCACACTTGGTGACTTGGTCCATTTCGGCAGGCTCAAACGCCAATATATGATCCATGGAAAAGGCAAATATATTGAATGAATATTAAACATAGTTTTCTAACATAGTTTTCTTGCAGTTCGAAACTTCCAACAACTCTCATATGCGAACCAGTAGATCAAGGGAGCCAGCTGAGACAATCAAACTAGTCTTCCGGTCAAGGTGGGTGGTGGCACATGGTGACACAAGTGTCAATCAATAAATGAAAAGAAGAGTCAGCATTCGCAGCAGGTCTTTTTGAAGACGAAGGTTTCATGAAGATTCTAGTAGTTCCAACATGTCCTAGCATGTTCTCGCCTTTCGTTGGCCATGCGACCGCTATGTCTCGTGTGAGCTGGTTCCTCACTTTTCTCGTGGTGCTCCGTGGCTCTGCACAGGCACCCGAGGCACCCGACTGCGAAAGATTCGGGCATCACGTGGCCGCCATCGCAGATGGAGGGATCCACAACTTCCATCAGCTGAACGCACTGCAGTCACTGCAGAAGCTCATCGAATTGCCATCTCTTCGACACTGTTCTTGGAGAGCAATGGCAGCCAAGATGCTCTCAGATTACATAGGCTATGGACTTGTGCAAGATGGCAACAGTGGGGTCGCCATGGATTCTGAGATGTTGGCCAGGTTCTGGGACCTCAGAGTACTTGCAGATGGCCTTAGCGGCGTCAACAAGAGCTGGGTCCGCTGGGTGGATTTGTGGTTGGATGAGACAAAGAACAAACACAACAAGACAACCTTGGAATGGGAGATCCATGTTCTCACAAAGAAGTTCTGGGCCATGACAACAAATGACGAAAAGGATTTTAAGGATGTGGTGAAGAATTTGGAGGATTATGCCCCGATTGCACCAGCCGGATCTCAAGCACAAGTGGTATGCGTTCATGGAGTAACCCATTTGGCCAAAGAATCTTTGGTGTTTTCCCACTTCACCTGGGGCCACGTTTATCCTGTGGCTGTTGCGGTGGCAAAGGCCGGTTTTCTCCACAGGGGCACAAAGCTCGTGTTTGACGCGCAGCCGTTTTTACGTCCTCGGGTGACCTGGCTCGCATTCTACGGCTTGTTCTTCGATGAGATACCAAAGTTTGATCCCTTCTGCCAAGGGGCAACAGCACAAGTTGACCTGGACGAAGCTGTCCCACTGATGACTCAATACACAGCTGAGAATTTCAAAAACAACCACACCTTGTCTGATCAAAACACGTGGGAACGAAATTTTGAGCTTTGCACCTGGAGGCCAAAGATTTTCAAAGCGATGGCTGCACGCTTCAACTTTCCATTCCACCATGGTCGCGTCAACAACAACAACGTCAATGTCGTATATCTTCGCAGAGGGGTGATTGGTGCTGTGGGCAGAGCAAGGGCCTAAGCTGGCCGACCCAAGATGGCCCATTGAGAGACAGATCAATTTTGCGGATTAACCATTAACCATTGATAAACACTGATTAAACTCATTAAGTCATTAATGACTCATTATGCATTCAGAACCTCACAGTGTTTTGTTTTTGAGAGTGTGGTTTGCACCTCTATTTGTCTCACTTCTTGTTTGAAATCAGATGCACGCCCGCATATTATCGCATATGATCAAGTATGGGTATGTGTGAAAGCCTGTGAGAGGGTAGAAACATGAACATGCATTTGTCAGCGATATTCTTGTTCACCTGGGTACCAGGGTGTTAACCCATGTCCTATATCAAAGTTAATTGTATTGGGTCTTGGTTGTGTGCGTCAATTAGAGCAACGTGTGAATTTGCAATCGTTCTTTGTGCATTGAGCCTTGCTGCAAGGCTGCAAAGTGCACTCCTCATCCAAAATGTTCCCCCATACGGCCCAAGAGGCAGAACCACCAAAGATATTTTTAAAGAAGCTCTAAGGCAAGTTTGAAAAAAGCTTCACGGTTAATGTAATCACGCTCTCACTGGCTGGTTCAATCAATCGTCGACTCACATTGTTATAACATCATGATGGCGCGTTTCATGTAGAACAAGTGAAAAAGCGCAGGGCGGACAGGAGGAGGTTCAGGATTTCTGAAGTTTCTCAAGTAGCCAAACTAGCTTCAGATGGTGTTGCAATCACGGTCAGAATATCTAACACTGAAATGGTTTCCTGGGGTCATCAATTCAATGATGTTGTGTGCATGTGCACCGCATTTTTGTTTGGCGAGCCGCTGTTGCAGATAGATCAGATAGACTTGCCACCGCTGGCCTAAAGATAAGCTCTTTTGTCCTCCACTGGGCGTTTTGCCATTGTGAAACTTCCCTGAAGAGCCTTTCCTTTTGCGAAATACACTCAATTTCTCACTGTTGCTTGCGAACATTGTTCGTTGCCATTGCTCCCTGCCCCATTTCCGATCTGTCGTGATCCACGCAAGCCTCATCAGAATGGAACTTTAAAAGAAGGTGTGTTTCTGGCCACCCTCAGTTTCTGAAAGCATACAAATGGAATTCGCTACGTTGCAAACAAAGCCGGATCGTAGCAGGTGCCAAGATCAGACTTTTCAGAGGCACATCAATGAGGTGTTTGGTGAGGTAGCACTAAACGGCACGCCTCAAAGATTCAGGACGCACAACAAAAGCCCAGTTTGAACTCCAGCTTGCCAAATCATGTTGGAAGGGTTGCGCGAAACACCTAGAATAAACAAAAAAGCAAAAGACAACGCAAGCATGCTCGTCATTGGAGAGACTCAGAAGGGCTTTGTCTTGACCTCCAAACGCTATAAAAAGCAAACAATTAGTACTACTAACCACAGCTCTCGCCTGCCGCTCCTTCCCCTTTCACATCTACTAATTACCATAATTACCTCGACACTAACCACATACTCACAGACAAACGAGCGGACCGTTATACCACTCCACATCCACAACGGCACCCTAGAGTGGGGGACTATCAGGCCCTGGCACTCTGTGTGATTGGTATTAATCGAAGGAAGTTTAGAAGTCAAACTTCCGACAGTATGGACAGATGAAAAAGAAGAGGTGGGAAGAGTCAGCGAAGAGAAGAGAAGAAGCAAGAAGATCAGAGAAGAGAAAGAGTCAGAAGAAAGAAGATGCAGGTGCGCGAAAAGGTAGGAAAGTCGCGAATCGCTGTATTTTTCCAATGATTCGTGGCTCCAGAGGGTCGAAAAGTAGGCTCGCTAAAGCGGCGGGTGCGGAGCCATCTGGCCAGATGAGAGATGAAAAATTGCACGCCGTTGTGGCGCGAAGTACATTTGGAAGTGAAAAAGCTAAAAACACCGCACTTTTGGCAGCTGAGATGTCGAAAAAGTGCACGCTGTTGCGCGAAGCACATTTCGAAGTCAAAATGCACAAACCACACCATGCTCGGAACACTTTTGGAAGTTGAGATGTCGAAAAAGTGCACAGAATTGGGGTGCGAAGCGACATGTCGAAGTCAAAATGTCAAAAACACCACATGCTCGCGATAGATAGATAGATAGATAGATAATTAGATAGATAGATAGATAGATAGATAGATTATAGACAACTACAACTGCGGCTGCAACTGCAGCTGCAACTACAACTACATTATAGCTACAAATACACGTACAACTGAACCACGCTACAGTACAAGGATTGCACTACACTACACTAATTACACTACAACGACAGCTACAACCACAATTACAACTACTACTGCTGCTGCTGCTACTGCTACTACTGCTACTACTGCTACTACTGCTACTACTGCTACTACTGCTACTACTGCTACTACTGCTACTACTGCTACTACTGCTACTACCGCTACTACTGCTACTACTGCTACTACTGCTACTACTGCTACTACTGCTACTACTGCTGCTACTGCTGCTACTGCTACTACTGCTACTACTGCCACTACTGCCACTACTGCCACTACTCCCACTACTGCCACTACTGCCACTTCTGCCACTACTGCCACTACTGCCACTACTGCCGCTACTGCCACTACTGCCACGACCAGGACAACGACTACGACTACTACTTCTACTACTACTGCCACTACCACTAGCACTACCACTACCATCACCACTACCATCACTACTACCACTGCTAGTGCTACTACTACTACTGCTACTACTACTGCTACTACTACTACTACAACAACTACTACTGCTGCTGCTGCTGCTACTACTACTACCACGACCACTACCACTGCCACTGCCACTACCACTACCACTGCCACTACCACTGCCACTACTACTACTACTACGACTACTACGACTACTACTACTACTACTACTACGACTACTACGACTACTACTACTACTACTACTACTACTACAGCTACAACTACAACTACAACTACTACTAGTAGTTCAACTACTACTAGTACAACTACCACTACAACGACATTACACTACACTACTCTAATCACACTACAATACACTAGACTCCAGCTACAACTACAACTACACTACATACTACTACGCTACACTAATCACCCTACACATAACTACAACTACAACAACTACAACTACAACAACTACAACTACAACTACGCTACGCTACGCTACTACAACTCCAGCTACAACTACACTACACTACAGTAGGCTACATTACAGAACACAGCACTACAGCACACTACACTACACTACATTACATTACACTACACTCATTACACTGCAACTACAACTGCGCTACACTGATTACAGTACTACACTACAACTACAATTCCACTACACTACAACTACAACTACAGCTGCACTACAGCACACTACATCCAGCAGTTGTGGGTGAGGTGACCGCTGCAACCATTGCAACCACTCCAAAAAACACAACTCCAACCACCTTCGGTCCATCAGTGGATTCGCTCTGCCATCCATGCATCACAACAACTCACCTCTCCTATGGTGCCCTATCTTTGAAACTTCCGCCACCGCCTTGAGTGGTACTACTGGTAGTACTGTGTATTGAAGATTGTCCTAGTTCAAAAAACAGTCAGTGTGCATATTGGTTTATATTCACATCATGTTCATTGGCACATCAATCACAGCAGAAGTATGCCAGGGGAAAAAAAAACATTACCTTCCTTTGCAAATGAGCCGCGTTTTCAGATTAAGACAGGCAGGACAAAGCATTTACATGATATAATGGCCATGTTCCAGCCAATGAAAAGTTTCTGAAGTAGTTGGAACCGTGTCCCAACATGTTCCCTAACCAACTTTGTATAAACCGGGAGATATACACTATTGGCAACTGTGTTTTTCCACCCATTTGGCCACTTGTCACGAAAGCTAGCTTCTGCTAGCTGAAGTCCCTCTTGCTTTAGCAAGGTATTGGGGGGGATGGAATCTCCAGTTGCGAGAAACTTCTCAGTTAACTACCCCCCCCTCCCCCTCTTTTCACAAGCAGTTTACTCGTTGGCTCAACCCCTCCCGGGACACGGTCAGTAACAGCACCGGCATGATCACTTGTATCCACCCTCTACACTTCGCACTCTAGAGTCCACACTTTACACACTAAACTTTACACTCCGCATCTTACACGTTACACTCCACGCTCGACATGTTACAATTACCTGTTAACGCACTTTACACTCCATACTTCACTCGCTAAACGTTACACGTTACACTCCACATTCGACATGTTACACTTAACTGCTAACGCACTGTACACTCCAAACTCTACACGCTGGACTTTACACTCCATACTGTGCACTCTAAACTTTACGTTTCACACGTTACACTTCGCACTCCGCAGTCCACACTTTACACCCACACTGTACACTTGGCACTCCACACTCTACGTTTACACAGGGCACTGACACTTTAATCTGTACGTTTTCGCACTTTACACTTTACACTTCACGTTAGACCCCCACAACTTTGCCCTTTTCACACTTGATACTGTATGGAACCTTGGCCTAACTCCATTGTCATGTTGCGTGCGCACATCTACCTGTCGTCCTGAACTTTCGCCACTCGCTGCATTACTTCTTCCCACGCGTCCAAAGGTCCACTCCTGTGCCGACGGTGGACCTTTGAATTTTCCCCTTCACTGTGCACTCTGCACTCCGCATTTCACACTCCACACTTTACACTCTAAACTTACACTTTACACTCCGCACTCCACACTCCACACTCGACAGTTTACACTTAACTCGTAACGTACTTTACACACCACAGTTTGCACTCTAAATTTTACACTCCACACTTTACACTCTGAATTTTTATCACACTTTACACCCCACACTCCACACTCTACACTTGGCACTCCACACTCTACTTTTACACATGGCACTCACACTTTACGCTGCACTATACACTTGAGTTTTGACCCCCACAATTTTGCCCTTTTCACACTTGATACTGTATGGAACCTTGGCCTAACTCCATTGTCATGTCGCGTGCGCACATCTACCTGTCGTCCTGAACTTTCGCCGCTCGCTGCATTACTTCTTCCCACGTTTCCAGAGGTCCACTCCTGTGCCGACGGTGGACCTTTGAATTTTCCCGACTCAGTTGTCATGATCTTGTCTTTGCTGAATGTCTTCATTGGTTTCGTGCAACAGTAAACAACAATCATATGTTCTCAAAATTTGTATTTACACTTGCGCTACCTTCTGTGTTTCATGCCCATCACCCTGCCAAGCTAGCTTTCGACCCTTACCCCTTGCCCTCAAATCGTGTGTTCCACCAACAAGCAGTGCGGCCTGTTGTCTCGTGCGCAGTCTATCCCTTTTTGTTGGTCTTGGGACCGCCAAGCAACTCTTCAAAACGGTAGCACTGCTGACAATCAGTGAAGTGATCAACACTTTAAATTGATTTGGTATGGGTAATGCACGCCTTCGCATATGTTGCACAGACATGAACTTGGATCACTGGTGCCAAAGAATCTTGAAATCGTCCTCGGAATGATTTGTGCCCCATTGAACACATGCTATCAGCACATGCTGTGAACTAAGGTCGGAGAAACCCGTTTAAACAGGAATCTCCTGAACGATGGCGATGTTGCTCAGGCTTTCATGACGTTGGAAGGCCCTCACAACGCCTTGGATGCGGTGCATGTTGTGCATGTGCAGGCGGTCACCACTGATTCACCTTGGTTCCAACAAGTGAAACTGGCGATGTCAACGAACATCATGGTGTCGTTGCACGGCTCTGCTCTAGGTTCAATTGAGATTTGGATGCCAAGTGGTTCTATCCTGATTTCGGTGTTTACACCCCTTACTTGTCAGTGCCGATTTGCATATTGTGCCTCAGCAAGCGAAGAACGGTCCTTTTTGTATGTTGCGGCAACAACAGCAGAAGCAAACTGCCAGCAAGGTGGTCCATGGCTTGACAATGGCAAGAAAGGAGCTTGGGTTCCCCCTGAATTGCATTCACCAAGGGTGGTGAAAGAAGTAGTCGCTTTACAGGACCGAGTTGGCTATTCTCGACACTTCAACTACACCAGTGTACTGCAAGGGCTTCGTGCAACTCTTGCTGCTCTTGGAGGTGAAGAACTCAGCAGCAAGTTTGTGAAATGGGCGTTGCAAGAAGGTCACCACTTCGCTCAGTTGGTCTGTGGCAAAATGGCACTTCAAATCATCGACGATGCTGTTCCCCCGATTCCCATCACAGATAGATCAGATACAGACGATGGGCACAGAAAGACACAGAGAGCAAATATGCTGGAGACTCACCGACGCGTCCCCTCAAATGACATACCTTCAAACGGGAGGGCGGAGCATGAGGAGCAAGAGGAGCGTGAACAGAGATTCTACGTCAAGTGCATGGATTCCTTCGCAGACGAAATGGTTCGGCTCCGTTTCAAAGTGTTGGATGCAGCCCTGGTTAGTGCAGAAGCAGACCGAGCAGATCTGGGACGGAGTGATTTGAACAGTGCAGGTGTGTTCTTTCTACAAGCGCATCCTACACGAGCTCACCCTTGGGCAACTGCATATCGTGACAGCATCGGTTTTGACAAAGTCATTGTGATTTGGTTTCCACGAGCGTGCTTCGAGCTCTTGAAAGCTGAAACAAATTCTGCTGTGTTTGCTGAGATCGTTCGTTATAGTTTTTACATGGTAAGCTTGGTGTTAGTGATGGAACAGCAGAATGTGACTCTTGTGATGCCTAGCCATAAAGAAATCATGGAGGGAGACCCAATTGATATCAGTCTGATAGATTTTTACTTGATGGAAACTATTGCTTTAGACACAGACATCTCAGACCATGATGTGGAGCTGGCTGATGCCAATGAAGCTATAAAAGCCTCGGGTGCTTTGGTTGACGGCTTTTTGCGCAATTTGGCCAACAAATCACGAGATTGTCATCAGTGCAAGGGATGCAATGTTCGTGAACTTCGGCTGATTGACTCGATACTTGGTGAGGGCCTCCTGGACGGCGCTGAAGCCAATAAAGTCGATAAAGTCGATAAAGTAGATGAGGTCCTGATTTCAGAGTTCCGGAGCAGCATATTGTCTCTCGCCAAAGAGAGACTGATTGCCACAGCGTACCTGCCATGGAGATCCACTGAACTAGATACATCAGCTCGGCGAGCTGTGCACTTGCAGAATGTGATTGCAGATATGTCCAAAGCATTGAAAGCTGTGCAATGGCGTGTTGAAAATGTCGCTTCAATCGACTGTGGGAAGCCGCAGGAGCGTTCTCATTCCCAGCGCTCCCAGGTCGAGGAGCTATTCCGAGACGGAGCTGAAGGTGCAGATCATTTTTGCCGCCCAGTCCAAGCAAGCAAACTGCGCAAACCACTTGGTGTTTATCGATTCCGAAATGTTTGTATCACAGATTTGGCTGACAAGACGGACTTTGGCCATTCTGATAGCTGGCAGCAGACTGGTCGCCGATTGGAGCTTGTAACATTTGGCCTTGGTACCAATGGCACCAAGCTTGTCTTGCCGCCTGATGGACGATTTGTGGCAACTCACTATGACTTCGCGGAAGCAGAAACGGAACGGATCAGAAGGAATGCGAGTTATTTGCAAGGCACTTCCTTATTCTGGTACGATGGCCACATTGCTTCTTTGAGATGCCCAGACTGTTCCAACATCGACCATCATGTTCAAGATGATGCAATTCTTGATTGGATCACAGCATATTTTGGGGTTTCAAATGTGACACAAATTGTGTTCAACAATCATGCCTCGGATGGTCACTTGAAGCCAAGAAAGTGGTTTGCTCAGGTCGCTGCTTTGGTTGCTTCAGCCATAAAAGCACCATTTCATTATATGCAGAAAGCTGAGACCCTGTGCTTTGATGACGTTGTTTTGAATTTTTGGGTTCGCAACTCCAACTGTTATGATTGCTGGATGTACCGAGACAACATTCTCTTTCCAGGGTTTTCACTTCGACCGGTTCTGCGCTGGGTGAGAGACGCAATTTGGCGAGCTCATGGAAGCCCACCGATGAATCTCTCCAAGATCATTGCTTACGGGCGGCAATCTGAAGTCAGCCGAAAGCCTCGAACTTGGCGAAACTTCAACAAAGTCCTTCGACTCACAAATGCTACGTTGATCGACTTCAGAAAGATGTCATTGCGAGAGGAGGTCCACACCATGATGCAGGCAAAGGTCATGCTAACAGTGGTGGGGGCACATCTTCCTGCTGCGCTCTTTATGCGTCCTGGCTCAACATGGGTTGAATTGAGTTGCAAAAGAGTTGTGGAGCAGCAATGGGGACAAGCGTGGCATTTTCTCTTTTCTGCTTTGGATGTGGAATATCTCCAGTTGGATGCACTGGATTGTCCACAGACTGCTCCCTTGGGGCTGGATGTGAACCCATGGATCCCAGCACAAAAACATCCAGTTATGATGCGACCGAAAGTGTCGTCCCTGTCGTCCCATGTTGTGCCAATTTGCCATGCCGGAAAGTTGTGCATCTTCCGAGAAAACGTGGCCACTCTGGCGGCCCCCGTGGCCCCCTCCGAAAATCTGGAGCTCGACGTCAGCTGCTCTGGCGCGGCTGTGCTTGCCAGGCTGTCACCGACATTTGACCTTCTGACGCTGATGCGTCGATGTGTCGAATGGGGCTCTGAGTGTTTCAGCATTGATACGACTGATGGTGGCAAAATGTATCGTCGAAAGGGGGCGGCTTGGAACAAGGTGGCCTGCACATGGTTTGACAAAGCATCAGAAACTGCCTACTTGACTGCATTGCGTTGGCAAACAAACCGCACCATTGCAGATAAGCCCATCGTTGCTCCGCAAGCTGCTGTGGATAAAATACGCCGACTGGTACTTGCTCAAGCGGGAATTCAGCATTGAATGCCGCTGAATGGCTCCAAGCCATATGAGATCATGCAATCAACGTTCGAACCTGGGGACTGACTCGGAAGACATGGCGCGAGGATTCAACATGATTCAACTATTCTACTCCTTCGTGTTGCTCACCCTGTTGCTTTTCTGAAGGCCCTGCTCTGAAACAACACTGGTACGGCGTGTCATACCGTGTAGGTCGTCATACGTCATACATCCTCCAGCTCCTACCTTCACCCGTGAAGCCCGTGAAGCCCGTGGATAAAAAGCTGATCTTGCTGTGTGCTGGGCAGCTTCTGAAGTTGCTGTGCGGAAGTTATGGCCATGCAGAACTTACTGTTACAGGTGAAAGCATGAAATAAGCACATCGGTATGGTCTTGCATCCAGGGCCCCGCAAACTAGTACTGAGTATATACTAGATTGCATCTACCTGCTGTAACCGTTCTACAGCTGATGTCTTTCAAGTACACTTGCACCGTGACCACTTGCTTGTTTGCAACTAGATGCAATTAGCATGTTGAGCTCAAAGCGAAAAGAAATACAACTGTATTGGGACATGTCATCAGCGGACTCCGAAGTCTTTGATGTGTTCATATGACATCACATCACATATTTGTCTAGTATATCTAGTGATCTGATCTGATCCAACAGTTGCTGTAGCAACATGAAACAAAGCTCTGGCCACTGTGGCGCTAGGGCGACTTGTTTGTGGGTCTTCCAGAGCCAGCAAGACGGAAAAAAGGTTCGATAAACATCGATACACGAAATCCAGTTCAGCATAGTTCAGCGCTTTCTGTAATCGATCCACGGAATTCAATTGCGGACAGCACAGCCAGTGGCGCTGAGCCTCGTCAGCTCGCCCATTGCGCCGTGAGACATGAGAAGTGGAGCGAGAAGCGGAGCGAGCGATGAAAACTGCAGCACATATCGCCCTATGCACTTTGGCAGGGCTGCTGGGCTATCAGATCCGTCAGCTCTTCAGCATCACCGGTAAGGCACTGATTAGGGAACTGCTTTTGGCACTGCTTGACACAGCTTGAGTCCTTGTAAGCGGGGCCATCGGTGCCCCGGGCCAGATAGGAACGGCCACAGGTTGACGTACACAATTAAAGGGCAGCGTGGTCTGCCCATCTAAGCATCCATCTATCGATCCATAGTATGTATCTAACTGGGTATGTCGAAACTTTTGTTCGTTTATGGCTGATTTTCAAACAGAAAACCACATGAGTAGCTACTTTTGACTGGTAGTGATAGTATGCAGAATTTGGAAACTCTTCCTCGGGGATCCCCGTGGACTGCATTCGCGGAAGCTAGGCAGAATATAGTCTGTTCTTCACTGAATTAATGAACAAGCAAGGGTCTTGATTGGTATGCGGAATTTAGCTTGAGCAGCGCTGGTTTCTCTGAAAACTTATATGCAGAGAGTACCCGGCAGGTATCAAATGCACAGTAGACACCATGCGTCAATCAGTGATGTTTTCTTCACGCTCTTAAAAGATTGTCTGAGGGCAGACCGGGTGGACCGGGTGGACTGGGCAGACAGTCAGGGCCGCTGTGAGCATCGGTGGGCGCTGCCTTCAAGCTTGACAGCCCAAATCGGGTGGTCGACCGCTCCGTCACCAGATGCTCCATCACAGGACTGGGAATTACAGCGTGAAGCTTAAGAAACCACAGCGCAATCGCATGTTTTTGGAAAACAAGTCGTAAAGTGAGCTTGTGAAGCAAATGGTTGAAAATTAAACTATCTCTAATCACGGAGACAAGTTTCCTTCATCATCCATCATCATTCATCATTCATCATTTAATCATCATCATTTAATCATCATCATTTAATCATCATCATCATCATCATCATCATCCATCATCATCATCATCATCATCCTCATCCACTTGTTTCATCTTTGTCTTTTCAGCTGATCCTGGTCGTTGAAACACAGTTTCCGCGACAACATTGATACCGTCCTGCTAGTTTTCATACCTCTCCCCGGCCTCAACTTCACATGTTTGTTGGTTGCTGTTTTCTTTACAAAGACAGTGCCGCACTTTTAGTTCATTGTTAGGAGCCAGCTTCAGATGGGTTTCACAAAGGAAGTTTTCTGGAGCGGGCGCGGCACGTTTCGCTGCAGGTGCCAAAGCCATTTCATTGCGTTTCTTGGCCAGAACGGCTGGAGAACGAGCGTGACCGCAAGCCTGACAAAGGCGAAAGTTGGAAGGTCTAACATTTAAGAACTTAATCCGGCTACTCCTTTCTACCAGATTCTACCAATCTTAATGTTCATTTTGCAAGGCAACTTGGAATGCAACTGTTGCATACAGTCATAGCTCTGATTTGCCGTTCAGGATCCATTCGACCATGTGTTGGCTATCAATCTGGAAGATGCGAGGGGTCAAGGACGGCGCGAACATATGATGCGTGAGTTCGAAAAAGTTTCTTGGCAGCGCCGGTCTGACAGGATGCAAATGTGGGAGACCAGAGCAATGGAAGACCATTGTCTCAAGAGTGATTTCTGGTTGTTAATCAGCGATAGGACACAAATGGATAGGAATGGAACTTTGTTGGATTGGATAAATGAAATGTTTTGCAAGGCTACGGCCTTAAAGAGAGGCGTTCTCCCTCTCTTGAGACATCGGTTGCTAGCTTACAGATTGAAACCCGGTGCGGCTGAGACTGATGTGATTAACGTGCGGTTCATATTTGCTTCACCAAAACACCAGGCAATCCCTTGGCATTAAGTTTGCCAGGTTTGTTTCAGTTTGTTGGGGTATAGGCTTTCATTTTATTGTCACTAGTTGGGAAAATGATGGTCCACCATTGTATTGTGGACTAGAATATTTCTGGACAAACCCTTCGATCGTGGCTACTGGCTACTAGCCCCCACAAGTCTGGCTGCTGGCATCTCTGCAACTGCTCTCAGGCAGGCATCAAAAAGTACAACTTTTTTCCTGCTGTAGACTACAAGAAGGACCACGCAACAGCACAACCACAGCATTGATTTTGAACGGTTATAGCCATGCAAGGAGTTTGTGTGCTGTAGAAGCCATGTTGGGCAGAAGGCGAAAGTGTTTCCAAATGTTACCAGCTTTGACTTTTTGCATGCTTTGCGCGTGCGATCTTTAAGTTTCTGCTGTTTCAGCGATTCCGGTCATTTTTGTGGATGCCCTACCGAAATCTCACAATTAGCAGACCTATTTCAAGAAATTGATCTAGTCAAATCTGTCGAAACGTAAATCATCAACTTACACATTCTCTTTATCAGTTCTGTCATAATGTCAATGAATTGTCAATGATTTTGGTGATTCAAAAGTGATTGAAAAGCCTGGCTTTTCCGACTCTGACTCGACTCCAGGACTCGCAACTGAAGAGAGAGTTGGAGTTGATACCAGGTCTTTGCCAAAATCCTGGCAGATGTTCCTTGGCCTTTTTTGCACATTTTTCCATGGTTTTTCCATGGTTTGCAAATGGTTTTCCAGCTCATGTGGTTCACAAAATCAGGATCCGGTCTGTCCGAACATACCTCGATGTCTTCGAATCAAAGTCAATGGCGCACATCGATTTTGACACCACTAGCATAGATGGTCGAAATCAAGAGTTTTATATGGTCACAGAGTCACATCTATCGTTCCAGGTTTGTTCCATCATTCCTTTGCCCAGGTCACAACACCCTTGGCTGTGCTATGAGCCATCGCAGAGTCTATGAGAAGATTGTGGCAGAGAAATGGCCCTGTGCCATGGTCTTTGCTCCTTGGACAGAAACTGCAGAGCCGAGCCATGCCGAGCCTCCGGAAATTTCACTCAGTTTGTGTACTGACTTTGGGCTTCGGCTGTGGCACAGGGCGGAGAGTCATTTGCTAGTAAGACATGTTGGACCACCTGTTTTTCATTTGGTTAGAAAGACTTACTTCCACTGCATTTTGAATTTGACACCACTGAAATATATTGAAGCCACAAAGTTTGCCAAGAGTTTGGCAGATTGAATGGCTAGAAATGCGGATAGATTGAGATTAAACTAGACTGGGTTGGGTTGAGATAAGGTTGGATCGTATGAAAGTAGAGCAGATCAAATAGGACTGGATCAGATAGATAAGATAGAATAAGATTAGTCATGGATGGATGAATACTTAGTTATTAGATGGGTAATTGTGCGATGGGTCAATAGGTGTAATCATGTTCAATCATTTTGTTCAATAGATTCTAGGAGTGTTTGTCCAGATGATGCTGCCTGTCTCTACCCCTTTGGATCATGCCTTTTGGTGCCACTTTCCCTTGAAATCGCTCAGTTGTGAGGAAGATGATGCTGGTCTGTCCAACAACTTTTCAGGCAGACTTGCAGAGATGGCGACGCTCAGAGAATTTGTAGGTTTGGGTGTTTGTGAGCTGCATGTTTGGCCTATGTTGCTTCCAAAGCCAATGAATGGACAGACAACTTAAACCTTGTTCGTTCTTTGTCATGGCATGGGCGTACAAGTCCCTTGCAAGTCCTTTGCAAGTCGTAGTGTTATCGTAGTGTATCGAAGAATTGAAGAGATTCTTTCGCCTCCAAGGTCTGGAGGAATGCCTCCCTTCGATATCATTTTTACGGGTTGGTGTCATGGAACGAAAGAATCCAAGATGACCCCAGCCAAAGACCAAACCAGCGTCCCAGAGTTGATACCTGGCAGCATAGCTTGGGAGCGGAAAAATGATTCGAGATATTTGAGTTATCCATCTTGATTCGCAAATGATTCGCAAATACGGTGGTTCTGGTTGATATTGATTGATATTTTAACAGATGGCACAAGTGGTAAAGCCAAAAGTGGAGCTTGCCGCATCGAAAAAAGAAAAAAGATCGCGCTGATCAGGCTGAACGGATGGCCAGGGATGTGCATTCACGCCTACATCGTCAGCATCTATGGTGCACTGATGATGAGCCAGGCAAATACTCCAATCGCAATCACACCAGATGCGGTGATTTTTTTGGGCAAACATCAGAAAAATCGCACGCGAACACACATCGACCCACGGGCTGTGCTGAAGGCGGGGTCTTCAGACTAGGCATTGGGACCTTGAAGCGGACGTGACATGTTTAGTCTGTACTCAGATGTACTCAGACAAAATGAATCATATGAATTCATATGAGCATTGCCTGCCTTTCATCTCGTTAAAGCATGTTAAAGCATGTTAAAGCCCTTTGATCATCTTTAAGCTGGACACCTCTGTGCTTCAGACAGCTCGCGACAGTTCGACACAGTTCCACACAGTTCCACACTGGCAGGGTTCTATTTGGTTTACGTCCACACTCATGGCCTGGCCGCTTGGCAAAGAAAATTTAGACGGTCTGAAAGTTCAGTTACGTAGTGTAGCTGACTACGTAGTGCTCTGTTACAAAGGCGATTCCATAAAATTCCACGAAATGAGAACTGGGATGTGGGATGCTAACTGGATTTGCCTCTCCAAGGCAAGATGCTGGGGCTGACGGGTTGGGCGGCGGCGTTTGAAAAAATACCGCTTCGGGTCCTGGGATGTTTGAAGGGATGCAAACGTGTCACACATATGAACCGAAATGAACCTGACATATTTATGTCATTATTCTGCTTGTAGCCTGGCTGTATTTGGGTATCCCCCGAAATTCTGAAACTTTCCGAGGTTGCAACTCTGTGGCTCAAGCGCCTTGCGACTGTAGTGTACAATAGACCGGCGCCCAGTGTGGGAAGCTTCGATGATGCTTCGGCTTCTTGCACTCGTCGGCTTGGTTCAAGTTGCTGCGCAAACTGTTGGCGGCGGCACTGGCGGCACTGGCGGCACCGGTACCGTTGGCGGCAGCACCGGGGTGGACTTGAGTCAGATCAACCGGGACTTTCACTATGCTTGTTCGCATGGAGACCAGGAGAGGGCAGCTGCCTTGCTGACACAAGGCACATCAAGATTTCAAGACTTCAAGTTTGCATCGTCAGTCGTCACATCGCATGATATTGCATGATATTGCATTTCACTGCTCAGTGATTTTGACAACAGAGTTGCCCTTCCTCAAGTTCAGTCTTCAAGAGATATGAACCACAATTTGGCAATACAATGATTTAATATGATTGAATCATGCAGCTGCAACATCCAGTTATTTAGACTGGTTTGTTTCCACAGGTGCAAGCATTAACGATGTTGCTCGGCCGCAAAAGATTCACGAGCCAAGCTGATCAGAATCCCTTCAATACCCGGCAAAAAGTATCCCCTGTACGGCCACAGGATGCCATTGGCACGCTGATATTGATTCCATAAAGCATTGATAGTCTTCTTTCAAACCCATTGTTTTGGCTTTGGACCTGTTGCTTCATTTATACCTGTGCTGCACTGCAAAAAGCACTGCAGGTATCTGCTTCCGGTCCTAATTGGAGCCCATTGGCAGAGGCTGACATTGCCTCAGCGCAGCTTGAGTGTGAGCATGTGTGAGCATTTGAATGATCTGGCAGGTCTTGCTCAGGGTTCGGAATGAGTTACTTGCAAGGCCAAAGGTGATACAAGTCAGATGCACCGAGTGTAAGAGACAGCCATTGTGAGATGATGTTTGGATGTTTGCAATGAATCGATGAAACGTGAAACCTTAAAGCATTCTTAAACCCTTCTGAAGGAAAACTTGTGCGCGTGGTGTGAACTGAGGTGAACAGACAGGACACCGCCATGGCACTTTGGCTGCTTTCAAAAGGAGCAAGCCCCGACACTCCTGACAGACGTGGCCGCACCCCACTTTATCACGCTGTGCCTCGACGCGAGCCAAGTGCAGGAAGCTGTAAAGTCTGTAAAGTGCAACACGACAAGAAGACAAGCAGTTTCGCAATCATCTCAGTAGTTGTAGCTGTAGCGATTAATTGCTCTTTGAATGCTTGTGGGTGCCATACAGGTCTACTACGGTATGGCCGACATTGCGAAGGAAATGCTGAAGACTGCCAAGAACTTGAGGACAGAGCCTGGAAAGGATAATTGCGCTTAGTTGGGTCAGTAGGTCTACAGTCTAAGGACCAGCTGTGAATGAAAAGAAACTTAAGAAGTTAAGGAGGCTCTATTTACTTGTTGTATCTTTTTGTTCATATGTCAAGCATTTCTCCAAATTTCACGAATGATGTTGAGAGTCTTTGAACATCTTTGAACCAAGTCGACCAAAGAAAGGGAATAATTTCTCAAAGATATTCACGCTATTCAACATGAAAGAGAATCGTTGGAGCCCTCTGAAATTCAGCACGACCCGCAGTCCTCATGATGGCGATGGCGTTGACTTGCTGACCCGTGCAGTACGAAACTCAGAGCTAGACCAATAGTCTAGACCATGTAAGACTGGTGGAACCCACAGGTGAAAATCATGAAACTGGATGAAGAATGACGAAGACACTTGGACAGCCGCATTTGAAAGTATATCATTTTATATCTTCAACTCTTCAACACAGAGATGGAGCATGTCAGTCCATTTGGATAGAAGAGAAAAGACATGGTTCAGGTTTGTGCCATTTGCTTGCATCAGTTTCCCCCTTGCGACTAAGGTATGGAGGGAGGACGTTGATATGGTGAAAACTCTGCTTGAAGCCGGTGTGACATCCGCTGCTGCTACGGCTGCGGTAGCTTGCACTTGAAGTCCTTACATTTCACTTGAAGTCCTTATTTCGTTTGCAAAGTGTGAAGGTTTGCAGTCCCGGAGCTGTTTTTTTCTCTGGGACAGCTTGAGCTTTTTCGAGATGTTAAAAGACGGTAAAGAATCACCTTGCAAACGAAGAACAGTAAACCTGCATTCTTGCGATGCTTGTCCTGTTTCTTCCATCAATCATTGATAAGGCACAGAATGCTCCTTGGACGATTGGAAAGCTCTTTGGGATTGCGCAGCTATGGCAGCAAAAAAGTTGTCTCATGATTGGCGCATGATTATACATGCACGCAACATGATGCATGGTGCTTGTTTGCATGCGTCAGCTGTAGCCAGCATGAAGACAACTGGCTGTTGCAGCCACGACGTCTGCGAGTAGATCGCCCATGTCTATCCATGTTTGGTACTTTTTTCGCTCTGATGATTTGAAATCATAGGTAGTCATTGCTTGGAGGATGCAAGTGACTTTGAGTGGCTACGAGTAGGAAGACTTCCTGTTTTGTCATGCAGTACTGCACTAGTGCTATCTAGTGCTCCTGCGTTCATGTTTTGTCATACAGTGGATTGGACAGACTGCTGAGGGAACCAACGGCGCCTCCCACTGTGGTCTCTCCAATCACTCCAGTGACTGCCCCAGCAGCTGCTCCTGTGGCGTCTCCAACTGCCCCGGCAACTGTGCCAGTAGCTGCGCCAGTCGCTGCTCCAGCCACCGCGCCAGCAGCTACTCCAGTGGCATCCCCTGCCACCGCCCCAGCTCCCGCGGCGGAAACAGAGCCCACCACAAATCCCTGAGTGAAACCAAGCTCATGACGGAGTTGCCGCACCAGGTGCACAAGAGTTTACTGAGGGATGATCATTCTTTGACCATACTTTTGACCATACCATAATTGAAAAGCAAGCCGGGTTCCGGGTTACACAGTCGATGCGTTTCATTCCCCATTTCCCCGCAACATCGAAAAACGCCCCTTGCAGTGAGAATCGGCCTCTTGTGGTCTTTCGAGCTGTTCGAGCTCCTGTGATGCGGCGCTCTAGCGGATGCATTGGACTTTCTCTGGCACCCTCTGGTGGTGGATCAATCCCAGATTTGAGAATCAATCAGCAGTGTGCACCAGACCATGAATAGTACAATATCATACTGAATCCTGAATCATACAATATTGCACAGAATGTACCATTTCAACACCATTTTGCTTGCTTCGTGTTGGCCGTGCTAGAGGCCCTTGATATTGGAATTCGGCACAAAGATTGATGCCAAATCAGCTACTGTGATAAAAAGTGCGTGCGTGGTAATAAGTCACGAGCTGAAAATAGCCATGGTCAGACAGGAACTGTGTTTTTTGCTTGTAGCCTGGCTGTATTTGGGTATCCCCTGAAATTCTGAAACTGTGCTGAGGTTGCAACTCTGTGGCTCAAGCGCCTTGCGACTGTAGTGTACAATAGACCGGTGCCCAGTGTGGGAAGCTTCGATGATGCTTCGGCTTCTTGCACTCGTCGGCTTGGTTCAAGTTGCTGCGCAAACTGTTGGCGGCGGCACTGGCGGCACTGGCGGCACTGGCGGCACCGGTACCGTTGGCGGCAGCACCGGGGTGGACTTGAGTCAGATCAACCGGGACTTTCACTATGCTTGTTCGCATGGAGACCAGGAGAGGGCAGCTGCCTTGCTGGCACAAGGCACATCAAGATTCCAAGACTTCAAGTTTGCATCGTCAGTCGTCACATCGCATGATATTGCATGATATTGCATTTCACTGCTCAGTGATTTTGACAACAGAGTTGTCCTTCCTCAAGTTCAGTCTTCAAGAGATATGAACCGCGATTTGGCAACACAATGATTTAATATGATTGAATCATGCAGCTGCAACATCCAGTTATTTAGACTGGTTTGTTTCCACAGGTGCAAGCATTAACGATGTTGCTCGGCGGCAAAAGATTCACGAGCCAAGCTGATCAGAATCCCTTCAATACCCGGCAAAAAGTATCCCCTGTACAGCCACAGGATGCCATTGGCACGCTGATATTGATTCCATAAAGCATTGATAGTCTTCTTTCAAACCCATTGTTTTGGCTTTGGACCTGTTGCTTCATTTATACCTGTGCTGCACTGCAAAAAGCACTGCAGGTATCTGCTTCCGGTCCTAATTGGAGCCCATTGGCAGAGGCTGACATTGCCTCAGCGCAGCTTGAGTGTGAGAATGTGTGAGCATTTGAATGATCTGGCAGGTCTTGGTCAGGGTTCGGAATGAGTTACTTGCAAGGCCAAAGGTGATACAAGTCAGATGCACCGAGTGTAAGAGACAGCCATTGTGAGATGATGTTTGGATGTTTGCAATGAATCGATGAAACGTGAAACCTTAAAGCATTCTTAAACCCTTCTGAAGGAAAACTTGTGCGCGTGGTGTGAACTGAGGTGAACAGACAGGACACCGCCATGGCACTTTGGCTGCTTTCAAAAGGAGCAAGCCCCGACACTCCTGACAGACGTGGCCGCACCCCACTTTATCACGCTGTGCCTCGACGCGAGCCAAGTGCAGGAAGCTGTAAAGTCTGTAAAGTGCAACACGACAAGAAGACAAGCAGTTTCGCAATCATCTCAGATGTTGTAGTTGTAGCTGTAGCGATTAATTGCTCTTTGAATGCTTGTGGGTGCCATACAGGTCTACTACGGTATGGCCGACATTGCGAAGGAAATGCTGAAGACTGCCAAGAACTTGAGGACAGAGCCTGGAAAGGATAAGGGCGCTTAGTTGGGTCAGTAGGTCTACAGTCTAAGGACCAGCTGTGAATGCAAAGAAACTTAAGAAGTTAAGGAGGCTCTATTTCCCCACATCTTTGTTTTTGGTTCTGTATCCCGCCGTCAGCGCGTTCGCCCGTCCGCCCGCCGTCCGCCCACACACAACTTGCTCACACACAACTTGTCCACACACAACTTGCTCACACACAACTTGTCCACACACAACTTACTCACACACAACTTGCTCACACACAACTTGTCCTCACACAACTTGTCATCACACAAGTTGCTTACTCACACACATCTTGTCCTCACACAACTTACAACTTGCTCACACACAACTTGTCCACACACAACTTGCTCACACACAACTTGCTCACACACAACTTGTCCACACACAACTTGCTCACACACAACTTGTCCTCACACAACTTGTCCTCACACATCTTGCTCACACACAACTTACTCACACACAACTTGCTCACACACAACTTACAACTTGCTCACACACAACTTGTCCACACACAACTTGTCCACACACAACTTGCTCACACACAACTTGCTCACACACAACTTACTCACACACAACTTGCTCACACACACAACTTGTCATCCCACAACTTGTCATCCACCTTCACTTTGCGTGGCAGGCGTGGCACTTGGCGACATGGATCGTCACTTTGCGTGGCAGGCGTGGCACTTATGGCACTGGGCTGGCTCTGGTGGCGCGCTTGGGTCTCAGTTGACGCCGTGGGCGTGGCAGGCGTGGCACTTGGTGACATGGACCTTCACTTTGCATGCCAGGCGTGGCACTTGGCGACATGGATCCTCACTTTGCGTGGCAGGCGTGGCACTTATGGCACTGGGCTGGCTCTGGTGGCGCGCTTGGGTCTCAGTTGATGCCGTGGGCGCCGCAGCTTTTGGCGTGGCAGGCGTGGCACTTGGTGACATGGACCTTCACTTTGCGTGGCAGGCATGGCACTGGGCTGGCTCTGGTTGCGCGCTTGGGTCTCAGTTGACGCCGTTGGCGCGGCTTTTGGCATGGCAGGCGTGGCGCTTGGTGACATGGACCTTCACTTTGCGTGGCAGGTGTGGCACTTGGCGACATGTATCTTCACTTTGCGTGGCGTGGCACTTATGGCACTGGGCTGGCTCTGGTGGCGTGCTTGGGTCTCAGTTGACGCCGTGGGCGCCGCGGCTTTTGGCGTGGCAGGCGTGGCACTTGGTGACATGGACCATCACTTTGCGTGGCAGGCGTGGCACTTGGTGACATGGATCGTCACTTTGCTGGCAGGCGTGGCACTTATGGCATTGGGCTGGCTCTGGTGGCGCTTGGGTCTCAGTTGACGCCGTGGGCCCGCGGCTTTTGGCGTGGCAGGCGTGGCACTTGGTGACATGGATCGTCACTTTGCGTGGCCCTTTTGGCATGCGGCTGATACATATGTATAGACAACTTTATCCACACAACTGTTTTTACTTCTCAAACCTTTTCACCACCTCCTTTGTCTTTCCCCCCTTCCCCGTCACAACTTCTGCACGCACACACTAGACAAGAATGGATCATTATATGATCCGGCAGGAACTGAATCCTGAAACATGCAGATTAGATACGAAACAATGCAGGTACGTTTACACGGGTCCCGGGAGGGTGTCTTCGGTGGCCACCGACCCCCCCGGGACCCCGGTGGCCCCCTGCATTAAAATTAGAATTAGAAAGGGAGAGGACAAAGGAAGAAAAAGAGAGAGAAGTTTTACATCTATTTAGATGTTACACACACACACCCGGCCGGAGCCGGGTCAACCCTGAAAGGCAAGAGGAAGAAAAAAGCGGACACACGACGGGCAGACGGCCAAAAACAGCGCAGGGGGGGGAGGGGAACAGACGGACCTCCGGAACCAACCTACACGGCGAAACGGACCTGACCAAAACAGCGCACACACCTAAACCTCACAACACGTTACGGAGAGGCACGCAGGGAAAGATTAGGGACCAAATGGGGAACTAGTTGATGCCAGACAAAAACCAAAACAATTAGTTAAAAAACAGGACCCAGTTCCTATACCTACTGTTCGTGCAATTGTGCCACAACAGGCCCATGTTCCAGTCAGCCACAAGGGCATAAACGGCTGACAAGTTCCATCGAATTAGATGCACAATGTGTTTCACCTCACCAGACAACCATCAAAAGAAAAAAGACCACACCTGAAAGTCGTGAGCCTGCCTGGTACTTGTGTCATGACATGATGCAATGTAGCTGCAAACGTTGCTGCAGTGGCAAGAAAGGAGTTTCTGGTTGTTCCGAACGATCTCACGCTGAGAGAGAAGCAAATCACTGGGGTCCCTGGGACGTCCGGAGCCGCGGGAATTCTCGAAAAAGGTGCAAAACCGAAAGGCTGACTGTTTCGCTTTACTTAGATGAATTACTAAATTAAAATGTGTTAATTCGGCAGTCAGGACAGTCATCACTCACCCTAAAAAGGGTTGCCTCAAATGGCTCCATGGCACCATGTCGGAGCCACCATGGAAATCACACTAGACAAGAATGGATCATTATATGATCCGGCAGGAACTGAATCCTGAAACATGCAGATTAGATACGAAACAATGCAGGTACGTTTACACGGGTCCCGGGGGGGTGTCTTCGGTGGCCACCGACCACCCCGGGACCCCGGTGGCCCCCTGCATTAAAATTAGAATTAGAAAGGGAGAGGACAAAGGAAGAAAAAGAGAGAGAAGTTTTACATCTATTTAGATGTTACACACACACACAACTTACCACCACACAACGTACTCACACTTGCTCTTCCACACACAACTTGCTCCACGCCAATCCTGCACCATCTCTTTTCTCTTTCCTGCTTTCCCCATGCCATCTTTACCTGTCTTTTGCTGCTTGTTGGAAGAAGTTGACATGTGGGGTTATCCGGTCCTTTAATTACTTGTTGTATCTTTTTGTTCATATGTCAAGCATTTGTCCAAATTTCACGAATGATGTTGAGAGTCTTTGAACATCTTTGAACCAAGTCGACCAAAGAAAGGGAATAATTTCTCAAAGATATTCACGCTATTCAACATGAAAGAGAATCGCTGGAGCCCTCTGAAATTCAGCACGACCCGCAGTCCTCATGATGGCGATGGCGTTGACTTGCTGACCCGTGCAGTACGAAACTCAGAGCTAAACCAATAGTCTAGACCATGTAAGACTGGTGGAACCCACAGGTGAAAATCATGAAACTGGATGAAGAATGACGAAGACACTTGGACAGCCGCATTTGAAAATCTATCATTTTATATCTTCAACTCTTCAACACAGAGATGGAGCATGTCAGTCCATTTGGATAGAAGAGAAAAGACAGGGTTCAGGTTTGTGCCATTTGCTTGCATCAGTTTCCCCCTTGCGACTAAGGTATGGAGGGAGGACGTTGATATGGTGAAAACTCTGCTTGAAGCCGGTGTGACATCCGCTGCTGCTACGGCTGCGGTAGCTTGCACTTGAAGTCCTTACATTTCACTTGAAGTCCTTATTTCGTTTGCAAAGTGTGAAGGTTTGCAGTCCCGGAGCTGTTTTTTTCTCTGGGACAGCTTGAGCTTTTTCGAGATGTTAAAAGACGGTAAAGAATCACCGTGCAAACGAAGAACAGTAAACCTGCATTCTTGCGATGCTTGTCCTGTTTCTTCCATCAATCATTGATAAGGCACAGAATGCTCCTTGGACGATTGGAAAGCTCTTTGGGATTGCGCAGCTATGGCAGCAAAAAAGTTGTCTCATGATTGGCGCATGATTATACATGCACGCAACATGATGCATGGTGCTTGTTTGCATGCGTCAGCTGTAGCCAGCATGAAGACAACTGGTTGTTGCAGCCACGACGTCTGCGAGTAGATCGCCCATGTCTATCCATGTTTGGTACTTTTTTCGCTCTGATGATTTGAAATCATAGGTAGTCATTGCTTGGAGGATGCAAGTGACTTTGAGTGGCTACGAGTAGGAAGACTTCCTGTTTTGTCATGCAGTACTGCACTAGTGCTATCTAGCGCTCCTGCGTTCATGTTTTGTCATACAGTGGATTGACTGCTGAGGGAACCAACGGCGCCTCCCACTGTGGTCTCTCCAATCACTCCAGTGACTGCCCCAGCAGCTGCTCCTGTGGCGTCTCCAACTGCCCCGGCAACTGTGCCAGTAGCTGCGCCAGTGGCTGCTCCAGCCACCGCGCCAGCAGCTACTCCAGTGGCATCCCCTGCCACCGCCCCAGCTCCCGCGGCAGAAACAGAGCCCACCACAAATCCCTGAGTGAAACCAAGCTCATGACGGAGTTGCCGCACCAGGTGGGTGCAGCTTCGTACATTTCCAATCTCTAGGTTGTTGATTCAAAGTAAGGGCATGACAAACAGAGATGAATCGTTTTGAACATATGGTCGAACTCTTGCGCCCAAATCCCGGCAACATCTTGCACTGCACAACTCCCTGCAGTGAGAATCGACGCCTCACATCGTCTTTTGAGCTCCTGTGATGCGGCAGTGATGGTGGATGCATCTTCCAGTTCGTTCCTGTTCTTTTCTTTCAATGAGGGTGAATGAGGACCATTTCGCATAGATATTGCAATAAGTAGTGGCCAACAATGCTGTTTGTTGCCTGGTACAACATGACTTTTCTTCGGCTCTATGATGCAATTCTCTGCGCGTTTTTTTTCTGGAGAGGCGGAGGGAGATAATAATAACGTGCTTGCACGCTTAGATGATGCAGTGGCAAACGTCCTTCATGCTAAATTGTAAGCTCCTTACTCTCTCTTGCGCCTCCTTGTAAGAAGTCCAATCCGCTCCACATGCACAAGTCCTTGATGCTATGCTGCACAAGTCCCTGACACAGCGCTGTAAGATCTTCGCTATCTGTTGCACATGCGCACATCCTTCATGCTATGCTGTAAGATCTTTGCTATTTGTTGCACATGCACACATCCTTCATGCTACGTTGTAAGATCTTTGCTGTCTGTTGCACATGCGCAAGTACTTGATGCTACGCTGTAAGATCTTCGCTATCTGCTGCACATGCACAAGTCCTTGATGCTACGCTGTAAGATCTTCGCTATCTGCTGCACATGCGCACATCCTTTTTGCTATGCTGTAAGATCTTTGCTATTTGTTGCACATGCACAAGTCCTTGATGCTACGCTGTAAGATCTTCGCTATCTGCTGCACATGCGCACATCCTTTTTTGCACATATGCTCTAAGATCTTTGCTATTTGTTGCACATGCACACATCCTTCATGCTACGTTGTAAGATCTTCGCTATCTGCTGCACATGCACAAGTCCTTGATGCTACGCTGCAAGATCTTCGCTATATGTTGCACACGCACACATCCTTCATGCTACGTTGTAAGATCTTCGCTATCTGCTGCACATGCACAAGTCCTTGATGCTACGCTGCAAGATCTTCGCTATATGTTGCACACCCACACATCCTTCATGCTACGTTGTAAGATCTTCGCTATCTGCTGCACATGCACAAGTCCTTGATGCTACGCTGCAAGATCTTCGCTATATGTTGCACACGCACACATCCTTCATGCTACGTTGTAAGATCTTCGCTATCTGCTGCACATGCGCACATCCTTCATGCTATGCTGTAAGATCTTTGCTTCCTGTTGCACATGCGCACATCCTTCATGCTATGCTGTAAGATCTTCGCTATTTGTTGCACATTCGCAAGTATTTGATGCTGCGCTGTAAGATCTTAGCTATTTGTTGCACACGCACACATCCTTCATGCTATGCTGTAAGATCTTCGCTATCTGTTGCACATGCGCACATCCTCCATGCTACGTTGTAAGATCTTCGCTATCTGCTGCACATGCGCACATCCTTCATGCTATGCTGTAAGATCTTTGCTATTTGTTGCACATGCACACATCCTTCATGCTACGTTGTAAGATCTTCGCTATCTGCTGCACATGCACAAGTCCTTGATGCTACGCTGCAAGATCTTCGCTATATGTTGCACACGCACACATCCTTCATGCTACGTTGTAAGATCTTCGCTATCTGCTGCACATGCGCACATCCTTCATGCTATGCTGTAAGATCTCTGCTGTTTGTTGCACATGCGCAAGTCCTTGATGCTAGGCTGTAAGATCTTTGCTGTCTGTTGCATGCACATGCGCAAGTCCTTGATGCTACGCTGTAAGATCTTCACATGCACATGGCTGAAGAGAGATGCGAAGCTCTTCTCTCAGTCAACTTGAGTTTTCGTGCGAGCAAAATGTACTTTTCGCCGAGCAAAGATTCAGCCATGTTGCTGTGATGTTTTTGCTTTAATGATTACAATATTCAGTATGTTTGAGATGCCAACAGCCAAAATACACCAGGCGACCAGTAGCGTAGTTCCCAAGTGCCTATTGAGGTGTTCAACTGTGGAAGTCTGCAGCTATGTAGGCGAGATGTCCTTGTCCTGAATTCGTTCAGTAGACTGACCTTTGAAAGTGCGCAAAAGTACGGTGTCGTTTTTCCATCGTTTTTCCTTGGGTGAAACATGCTGGGATCATGTTGAAAACGCATATTGGGTTGGGTTGAAGTCAAGCTATTTGGTTTTACATTGAACCGATGTGATCAAGGTCTTTGAGCTGTGGTTCGCCCTCCAGTACGGTTTTTCAGCCCATGCTGAATATTGCCACAATGTCATGAAATTCATTTGTGAGCTGCTTCCACTGCATTGCAATCCGGTGTTTGCTCAAGGCGTTTAAATTGCTCTTCCAAGGGAATTCTGATGTTCATCTGTCTGCTTATGCCATTGCGTTATTTTCAATCCAATGGTTGTTTTTATGTTAATTTGATATTGGTTGTTAATCCACGCTGTTTGTGTGTATCCAATTGATGTACGTCAGTGCTTTGTCTTTTTATTCTATTGAGTTTTACATTTGCGCCGTTTCACAGCACGGTCCGGCCCTAATGGTTCATGGTAAAAATTGAGGCTTTGATAGGGTTTGGTCAATGTCTCATATTGGCATATTAGGGTCATCGCATCGCAACCTCCTGATACGTAGCTCCTCGGTGGCTAACCAACCCTTCCAGCGAGACAACGGGCCCCGGGGAGCTTCCGGTGCACCATGACGTGGCTGCCAATGGTGACTTTGATTGCTTTGACCTTCCTGGTGTCTTGAAAGATTTCAGGGACGATTTCGGGTGTGCTGAGATTGCAGCTAATTGCCAGTTGCTTCGGGCTTTAGAGCTGTACACTGTACCTTTTGAACTCTGAACTGACATCGATTATTGAATCATGCTTACCCCACATTGAATCTAGCACCCTTCAGGAGGTCATGTTTCGGATGTCCTGTCCACGAAATATCTCAATATGAAAGCTTCCGAAAGTTATGAATTATCTTATTGCAACCACAAGAAGACCTGAAAGTCAAAACAGTCCTAGAATAGTCACAAAGTACTAGAATCCATCTTTTGTAGGGGTTACTATACTCCCTTAATGTTCCCAGCAAGGTCTTCATTCCAACCGTTACATCACAAGACTTCCGAGCAGCAAGGCAACGGCTGCAGAGCAATTGAGTCTGGCGCAATTCCCTGAGGAGGCGGCGATTAATCCTTGATTTTCTTCTGGGATAAGATTTACGTATTACTATAGGTTCTTTATGGTTCGTTCAAATAAAAGTAGTAATAAGCTTCGGTGGTATCCCCAACAGCCGCAACGTTTTAGTTTTATAAATCTTTCTGAAGCAAGCTGGGAAGCCAAGCGCTGGAAACACCTCAGCCAGATTTCCGTAAGTTAAATGAACCTCACCTGGCTTGGCTTCTGCAACCTTCCCCGGAACCCGTTGAACCTGACCTGGCTCTGCACCAAGACCTTCTCCGGAACCTTCTTCGGAACCCTGTTGAACCTGACCCGGCTTTGCACCAAAGCCTCCCAGACCTTCTCCGAACCTTCTCCGGAACCTTCTCCGGAACCCTGTTGCACTTGGCTCTGCACCTAAGCCTCTCAAACCTTCTCCTGAACCTTCTTCGGAACCCTGATGAACTTGACAGGCTCTGCACCAAAGCCTCCTAGACCTTCTCCGGAACCTTCTTCGGAACCCTGTTGAACCTGACCCGGCTTTGCACCAAAGCCTCCCAGACCTTCTCCGAACTTTCTCCGGAACCTTCTCCGGAACCCTGTTGCACTTGGCTCTGCACCTAAGCCTCCCAAACCTTCTCCTGAACCTTCTCTGGAACCCTGATGAACTTGACAGGCTCTGCACCAAAGCCTCCTAGACCTTCTCCGGAACCTTCTCCGGAACCCTGATGAACCTAGTCTGCACCAGAACCTCCCAGACCTTGTCCGGAACCTTCTCCGGCCTGTTGAACCTGACCTGGCCCTGCACCAAAGCCTTCTAGACTTTCTCCGGAACCTTCTCCCGAACCCTGTTGGACCTGGCTCTGCACCAAAGCCTCCCAAACCTTCTCCTGAACCTTCTCTGTCTGGAACCCTGATGAACTTGACAGGCTCTGCGCCAAAAAGCCTCCTAGACCTTCTCCGGAACCTTCTCCGGAACCCTGATGAACCTAGTCTGCACCAGGTCACCAGAACCTCCCAGACCTTGTCCGGAACCTTCTCCGGAACCCTGTTGAACTTGACCTGGCCCTGCACCAAAGCCTCCTAGACCTTCTCCGGAACCCTGATGAACCTGACCTGGCCCTGCACCAAAGCCTCCCAGACCTTCTCCGGAACCTTCTGCACACCAGAGCTATTCTGAGCGTAGACATAGCAGTGGTCCATCTCACTAAGCTTTCCATTTTATGTCGCATCATTATCTTTGATCCTTTGGATCCAAGTAAAACTAGACGACGGTTGGCCTGAGAGCGAAAAAGACGTTTTTCAAGCAGCTCTGAGTATGGTAGTCGTAAAAAATAGTCGGTGAATGGTTGGTGAATTGTATATGAGCTATGGAGGGATAAGTTGTGAAAAGTAAGATTGATTAAGAAGAGGAATACATGTGACAACCCATGCACATGCACTGTGCTGCTTGGTAAAGGGCATCATATGACACGTGACTTGCAACCACAGAGAGACATAGATAGAGAGAGAGAGAGAAAGAGAGAGAGAGAGAGAAAGCGAGAGAGAGAGAGAGAGGGAGAGAGAGAGAGAGAGAGAGAGAGAGAGAAAGAAAGAAAGAAAGAAAGGGAGATAGAAAGAAAACATGAAGTTATTATAATGTGAGCAACAAAAGTGCACAGGAGGCTCGGTACCATGATGCTGCGAATGACATGTGTTGTCTCATTTTACTATGGTAATTCCCACACACATTGCCGAAAAAGCTCGGTACCATCATTCCGCTTTTATACAGAGACGCTTTTACACACAGAAGCTTTTACACACAGACACTTTTACACACAGGAGCTTTTACACACAGACACTTTTACACACAGACGCTTTTACACGCACAGAAACTTTTACACACAGACGCTTTTACACACAGACAGCTTTTACACACAGAAGCTTTTACACACAGACACTTTTACACACAGGAGCTTTTACACACAGACACTTTTACACACAGACGCTTTTACACGCACAGAAACTTTTACACACAGACGCTTTTACACACAGACGCTTTTACACACGGACACTTTTACACACAGACGCTTTTACACACAGACCCTTTTACACACAGACCCTTTTACACACGCAGACACTTTTACACACGCTTTTACACACAGACACTTTTACACACAGAAACTTTCACACACAGACGCTTTTACACGCACAGAAACTTTTACACAAACGCTTTTACACACGGACACTTTTACACACAGACGCTTTTACACACAGACGCTTTTACACACAGACACTTTTACACACAGACCATTTTACACACAGACACTTTTACACACAGAAGCTTTTACACACAGAAGCTTTTACACACAGAAGCTTTTACACACAGAGGCTTTTACACACAGACTCCTTTACACACAGACGCTTTTACACACAGAAGCTTTTACACACAAACACTTTCACACCCAGAGACCGGACCCGTGAAATCGCAATTTTACCTCATTGGCGATCGAACCTCATTTCGCGTGTAAGGGTTGCGATTCACACCTCAAAATCGCAATTTTACTTCAGTTTTTGACGTCCAACGTCCATTTCGTGCGAAAGGGTTGCGATGGACTAACTAAAATCGCAATTTTACCTCAGTTTTTGACGTCCAACGTCCATGTCGTGCGAAAGGGTTGCGGTGGGCCAAGTAAAATCGCAATTTTACCTCAGTTTTTGACGTCCAACGTCCATTTCGTGCGAAAGGGTTGCGTTTCGTGTCACTCCGGCGGCACCGCCCCCGCCTTAAGAGAGAGATAGAAAGAAGAGCGAGAGAAGATGTGAAGGTGTGAAGATGTAGATCTGCAGGTGTGAAGGTGTGAAGATGCAGATCTGCAGGTGTCAGGGTGTGAAGATGTAGATCCGCAGATGTGACGGTGTGAAGATGTAGATCTGCAGATGTCAGGGTGTGAAGATGTAGATCTGCAGATGCGAAGGTGTGAAGGTGTAGATCTGCACATGTCAGGGTGTGAAGATGTAGATTTGCAGATGCGAAGGTGTGAAGATGTAGATCTGCAGATGTCAGGGTGTGAAGATGTAGATCTGCAGATGTGAGGGTGTGTAGATGCAGATCTGCAGGTGTGAGGGTGTGAAGATGTAGATCTGCAGATGTGAGGGTGTGTAGATGCAGATCGGCTGATGTGACGGTGTGAAGATGTAGATCAGCAGATGTGAGGGTGTGAAGATGTAGATCAGCAGATGTGAGGGTGTGAAGATGTAGATCAGCAGATGTGAGGGTGTGAAGATGTAGATCAGCAGATGTGAGGGTGTGAAGATGTAGATCAGCAGGTGTGAGGGTGTGAAGATGTAGATCAGCAGATGTGAGGGTGTGAAGATGTAGATCAGCAGATGTGAAGGTGTGAAGATGTAGATCAGCAGATGTGAGGGTGTGAAGATGTAGTATAACGGCTGCTTTTTTACGAAGAACCCTTCGCAGGCACTCTCGGGAAAAGTAAAATCAAAGATATAGAAATCAATTTGAATGGCTGTTGTTATTTTAGCTATTCTTATGACCGGGAATTTTACTTTGACTGATGCAAGTAGCTCTCTCAACCCAGACACAACAAGTGCTCACATGAACATGAGAAATGACAGTCTGTGAATAAGCTTCGGCGGTATCCCCAACAGCCGCAACGTTTTATTTTTACAAATCTTTCTGAAGAGTCTGCCAAGCCAAGCGCTGGACACACCTCAGCTGGGGTTCCGTGAGTTAAATGGCCGCAAATCTTGTTGAACCTGACCCGGCTCTGCACCGAAGCCTCCCAAACCTTCTCCAGAACCTTCTCCGGAACCCTGTTCACTCTGCACCGAAGCCTTCCAGACCTTCTCCGGAATCTTCTCCGGAACCCTCTTCACTCTCCACCGAAGCCTTCCAGACCTTCTCCGGAATCTTCTTCGGGAACCCTGTTGAACCTGACATGGCTCTGCACCAAAGCCTTCCGGAACCTTCTGGGGAACCTTCTTCGGAATCCTGTTGAACCTGACCTGGCTTTGCACCAAATACCGAAGCCTATGACCTTCTCCGGAACCTTCTCCGGAACCCTGTTGAACCTGACCTGGCTCTGCACCAAAGCCTCCCCATCCTTCTCCGGAACCTTCTCCAGAACCTTCTTCGGAACCCTGTTGAACTTGACTTGGCTTTGCACCAAGAACCTTCTCCGGAACCTTCTCCGGAAGCCTGTTGCCGAGACCTTTTCCGGAACCTCTCCGGAACCTTCTCCGGAACCCTGTTGAACGTGACCTGGCTCTGCACTAAAGCCTCCCAGACCTTCTCCGGAACCTTCGGAACCTTCTCCGGAACCTCGTTGAACCTGACCCGGCTCCTGCTATTCTGGGCTGAAGACCCCATTAGCTTACACTGTTGGGGAAAAATCATAGAATTGATTTATTTTTTGGTTCCAGTAACTTAGTGGATTAATTTGGTTGATCATTGGAATACGGAATATGGCATACGGCTTGATGTAATCAACTTAATATGATTCGGGTGTTTTTGAAAATGGGAGATGCCCAAATTTTACAGCTTAAGTAGGGACATTGATGATTCATGAGTTGATTTCGGGGCACCTTATTTAGTCTCAAGAATCCAAGTCCGAGTCATTTTAAGCAGCCGGCTGAGCAGCTTCAAAGGGAACTTTGTCCATGAGTTTCCTTTTGGCGAATTACCACAGGCATTGAAATTCATGGGATTCCCCTGTACAAATTGTGGACTTTCCATATCTACTCTTAGTTTTCCGGAGGTTACTAAATATCTTTATAGACATCACATCACCGACATCACCTACGATATCGCCAGCAAATCGAGCACCTTTCAGCACCTGTGCAGTCTGTCAGGAAGTGGCTTTGGCGCGCGGCAAGACTGCGCTGGTGACCGGTGCAGCGGGTTTCATTGGGAGCCATGTGGCCAGGCAGTTGCGCGAATTGGTCAGTGGGCTGATGGTGGGCCACTCAAGACATCCAGAGAGAGAAAGTTTTTTGTTGGATTTGGAATTCTTTTGTTTTGGAAATGGTGGTTGAAAGGAGTCTTGGCATGCCTAATACATCTGTTGGGTTCCCTTAAGCCTCCACCCTTTCGCTGGTGTTCTTGGAGGCATTGCCGGGATCTTGGTATGACCGTCCTTGCGCTGGATGACTTGTCTGGGGGCTTCCCGGCCAATGTGCCGGAGGGCGTGACCTTCATTGAAGGAGCAACGGATCTGTGGATGGATGGGGAGTGTAGATGATGGTTGCCAATTTCCAGAATTGGTTTGCTGGAATGTCTTGGAATGTGGGGGAAAGAAACATTATTTGACGGAAGACCACTCTCTATTTGGGCATGGTATCGTTCGAATCGGGCGCCCAAGAAGTGGAATGCAAAAAATAGCAGCAATGATCAAACATCTGTAGAGCTTAAGTTTGTTCATACCTGTTTGAAATTGGGAAATGGGTTTCAAAGATAACCAACACTCCGGCTTCGTTTGAACTTGGTCGTTGATCAATGGATTTCTAGATGTTCAAAGCACCGCTACGTTCTTCCGTCTCAACTATTTGTCATTTTCGCAACCGGGATTCCACAGACTTTGAAATTTCACAGGCCCCAGGTCCCACCCATTTGTGTTTTTTCTTTCAAACCCAGGAGACATCCGCGATGCAGAGCTGTTGGAACGGATCTTTCAGGAGCACCAGCCCGTACACTATGTCTACCATTTGGCAGCCTATGCTGCTGAAGGCTGAGCCAAAAATGGATGATTTAGATTTCTGTGAAAATACAAACAGCTATGGAAATCCACATGGAGCATGGTCTTGAGATCTTCTGGAGATCCCATACTGTCAGGGCCATAGCTACACAGTGAGACCGGGCCAGATCCACTGCATATTTTGAGGTTCAAATGAAGGTAGAGGGATGACGAGTCCCGACTCCGGATTTTTCCAAGACTCGACTTCGAACATCTTGGAACATCATTTCCATGAGGAAGAATCATTGAGAAAACAGCCTGGGTGAATAGTGATAACATGCCACTATATTGCCGAAGGAAGTTTGGAAGTCAAACTCCGACAATATGGACAGATGAAGCAGCGGAGATGGGAAGAGGCAGAGAAGAGAAAGAGCCAGAAGAGAAGTCAGAGAAGAGAAAGAAAGGCAGAAGGCAGGAGATCAAGGTGCGCAAAAAGGTACAAAAGTCGCAAAGCACTGTGTTTCTCCAATGTTTTGTGGCTCAGGAAGGTCGAAAAGTAGGCATGAAATGGTGCCGCAAGCACATTTCGAAGTCAAAATCGTAAAAATACCAAACGTCCGGAGCTCTTTTGCCAGCTTAGATATTGAAAGAGTGCACGCCGCTTTGGCACGAAGCACATTTCGAAGTCAAAATGGTAGCAATACCACACGTCCGCAGCTCTTGCCAGTTGAGATACTGAAAGCATGAACGGCGTTGTGGCGCGAAGCACATTTCAATGTCAAAGTGTGTACAAAACACCGTAGGTTCGCAGCACTTTTCGAAGTTGAGATGTTGAAAAAGTGAACGGCGTTGTGGCGCGAAGCACATTTTGAAGTGAAAATGTTCAAAACACCACATGATCGCGCCACTCTTGGATGTTCTAGCATCATTTTTCCTGGCAGGCGCAAGCAGTTCTGCACTGAGCAAAAAGTGAGTCAAACAAAGGTGTAGGTTTTGCAGCGGCTGCAAAAACGATAGCAGGCATGGGACGTTTGAAGAGGATCTGAAAAGATGCATTTCACATGGCAGGCGCAGTACAAGAGACATTTCCGGCAGACATGTTGATAGGTCAGGGCGCTGATTTCTTGAAAGGGGGTTCATTTTGGAGCAGCAGACTTTCAGGTTTGCCAAGACGATTTTCCGAGGGATAGATAGGCAGATAGATAGATACACAGATAGATATACAGATAAACAGATAGACAAATAGATAGGTGGAAAAATAGCCAGATGGATAGTTAGGTCGACACATAGATAGATAGAAAAAAATTAGCTAGACAGATAGCCAGAGAGATAGATAGACAGATAGACAAACAGACAGACAGACAGATAAATAGATAGACAGGTACACAAGTAGATAGACAGATACATGGCCCGACACTCCAACGACCTTTCAATCCATCCGTGGGTTCGCTCTGCCATCCATGATTCACAACAGTTCAACTCTCCTATAGTTGCCTATCTTTGAAACTTCCGCCACCGCCTTGTGCGGTACTACCGGTACACCAGCTCACAGGGTGATTAATCCCAAAAGGGCTTGCAAAATGAGCATTTTGCGGGTCCATTCCATAATACTCAGTACCTTGGAAAGCTTCCCTCAGCATCCACCACCCCTTGATTCCGAGGGATGGACACATGCCAGGTCTGTCACACTTCATCCGGTCTTACAACTACAGAACCAACCTGGTGGGATCAGCAACTTGGCACTTGACTTCTCGATCGATGCGCTCAGCATGGGGTCCAATGGAAGCCAGTTTGCCTTGGTTGGGTTTCACCATCCCTCAAGATGCTGTGCTGCAGGTGGAGATTTTGAACCAAGCGATCAAGCACCGGGTGCATTGTTTTGTGTTCACCTCCTCTATCGCTGTCTACGGTAGCATTAACGTGCCCTGGTTATGGAAACCCTTCACCATTTTCACTGGGTCGTGGGGATTGATGGGTTGGCAGCAACGATTTGGAGGTTTTTCGCTAAAGGAAGACAAGAAACATATTTGAAAACCCATTCCCAACAACCATAGGCCATCATGGGGAGGGAAGAAGCAGGAAAATCCAACGCTATAGCAACCCCAAAAAGACAGAAAAGTTGGAAACATAGAAAACATTTGGAGAAAAGGCGTTTTTCTATCTTCATGGGACTGCTATCTCCAATTTGCTGTGTGTGAAGTGGCTCTTTCATTCAGTGAATTGTTTTCCACCAATGTTACGCAGGCAACTCGTTCCATCCCTTCGGGCAATATAAGAGAAGTGTGTGCCGATCAATTTGCAGAAATAAATCGATATCTCACCAACAAAAGTCGATTCTCAACTTGAGGATCTGTCGCAGATGCAGAATCCCAATCGTTCATTGTCCACCAGCGGACACCGCAGTCCCCGTGTGGGGCAAGGCACGGATGCAACTGGGGTCTGTTTATCTCGCGCTGATGGTTGGAATGAATGCTGTGCATCTCTTTACATTTCCCAACCATTTGGTGGTTTCAGGCATGAACGCAGCCACGTTCTTTGCGTAAATGTCGCTTGTGTGCAGCGACCAGCCCGTAGGTTTGAAGGAAGAAGACCGACCCACTCCCGAAGATCCCTACGGTATCGCAAAATATGCCTTTGAATTGGACCTCCACGCGGCCAAAGAACTATTTGGTATTGACTTTGTGATTTTCCGTCCACACAATGTCTTTGGGCCACACCAGGAGATGGGGTAGCTGGGAAATTCTGTGGCGAGACTCAAGCATACATCCGTTTATCCGTTTCGTGATGTTTCGTGCATTTTTGCTAACCACTGCCAGAACTGTGGGACGAGGGGGGACAAACTTTGGGAACTTTGGGCAAGTTGAATCTATTTTGAACAAGCATAACATTCTACATTTTTATGGTTCGATTCTGAAAAACCTCAAGACTCACCATTCAGGTTGCCCCATTGTCACATCATTGTCCCCGGCTGCCACACCTAGCAGCCACCTGGCAGAACATGTTCGACAAGTACCGAAACGTCGTTGGGATCTTCATCAATCAAATTTTTCACGAACAGCCAATGCTCCTCTGCGAAGAATTTCACCGTGGGAGCCTCCAACTATCCCACATGGGTCACCACAAGGATGGCTGAACTATGCTCAAAATTTGGATGCCCAAGTTCCCCCTCAAATATGTGGCTGTGGATGTGTTAAGATATGGGGGATCTTGGAACTGGGTTTGGAATGGTTTGATGTCAAAACATGTTTGAAACTATGGCAGAATCAAGCTGCCATCGAAGTCTCAAATCTGTATTTGCTGCACCACCCACGCAATGTCTGATGATCTTGAGCTAGTTGGCTCAGATTTCTATGCCTTGTGGATTTTTCATCCTGGAAAATCAAACCTTCAAACTCAAGATCTAGTGGTAGATTATAACATCAATATACGTGTGTCTATGACCGAAAACAATTGCTCAAGAATGTCAACTTTTGTGGCCGTGGCTCAAAAACAGGGTATACTAGTGGATGTGCAAATGGTTTGGTTTTGCTCAGTACGTAACCCGTAACCATGCATTTTTGGTGAGCCAACTTTTTAAGGCCATTCCGCATTTTCAGCTGCAATAACATTCAAAACATATTGAGTCGATCAAACATCCCATGATATACCATTGGGTCGTATAAATCTTCAGTTGAATCCCATCAGATATCTCATTGAAAATCCTCAGTTATATAGATGGAATATACCCAGTTATGGATTTGCCAAAATGTGTCTAAACCACATATGATTCAACCTGGACATCCAGTTGTATCCCATTTTCTTGTTAAATATTCCATGAAATATCCCAATCATTATGGTCTCACATAGTTCTGCACAAGTTCATATAGTTCATATATCCACATTGGTTTGTTCCCCGTCCGAGCCGTCCCAGGACAATCTTCGGCAACGGCGAGCAGGTGCGCGCCTTCAGTTACATCGACGATGTGGCCCCGATCATTGCGCGAGGGCCGCTAAATCTGCGGGCACGCAATGAGATCTTCAACGTGGGGGCGGATGTGCCCTACAGTGCCACCTGGTGGTTTGGGCTGTTTGGGCTGTTTGGGCTGTTGGCTTTGTTTGAAAATGTGCTGAAAAAATTGTTTGAAATCATATTTCCCTGAGCGAATGGATAGTCTTCGGCAATGAATGGGTCCATTGTCATCCGTTGTCTAATGGGGTTACACTTGTGGGCCCAAAAAGCATTGAAATTGACCAGCCGTTTGATGAGTTCATTGGTACCTCGTGTGGAGAAGCTGGAAGGTTCTAGAAAGTTGAAGGGACTTCCTGGCCGGCAGCACCCCAAAAGCCATTGGTGTCGCCTATTTGGAACCGATTGGTTTGATTGTTGTCGGCGTGATTTCTGGGAGATGAACACGTCCCTTATGATTACCACTCCTCTGCATGAATTGTACAAGGTGGAGCCCCCTAGATCATTCACTTAGTTTATCACTAGCTTAACTATGGTAACTATGGTTCATGGTAGATACATCTATACTCTCGTCATGGGGGCTATAAACCAACTTGTAGCTCAGACAAATTTCCCAAGACCCCGTGGCACGGCAGCTGCCAATGTCAAACATAACCCAACCGAACCGTAGCCAACCTGCTGGCAGGACACACCTTGTAAGAAGCGCCCCCGAGGTGAACGAGCTGGCTACTGCCGTGGCGGAAGCCGCAGATGCTGCCGGGCATCCGAGGGATTCACAACCAGCGCGGTTGGAAGTGGAGGTGGCAGTGTCCAATCACGACAAAGTGCCTTGGCACAGGGCCACAGGTAGTCTTTCCCTTTGGCCAAATTGGCCAAATTGGCCAATGGGCGATTGTTTTTTGTTGGGGTTACTGTAAGGGTAACAAAGGCCTAGTTACCTTCAGAATGTTCAGATAACCCAGGCTACGGCTCGCAACCATTCCCCTGGCTCGGCAGGTCAAAGACTACTTCGACGTGAAATCTGCCATCAGTCTTAAAGAGGGACTGAAGAGGACTGCCATGAAACACATGAAACTCAAAATCTAGCAAAATCTATAAACAAAATCAGCAAATCACAATAAATCAATCAGCAAATCTACATGTGTCAATTGTGTCAATATCTCCAGATTCTGCGTGAGGACTGTGGAGTGGTACCGAGGCCAGGGACATCTCTTCAAACCCGTTGAGTTTTCCTCCGTGGAAGTCATCGATCGCTTGCCCCCGGCCTGGCGGAGAGAGGACCTGGAGGCGACTGAAGATGGAAAGATTTGGAAAGACCTGGAAAGAGGATGAAAAAATTGTTAAAAAGGGGATTCAGTTGGGTGTTTAGTTAACTTTTGAGTTTAGGATGAAGCACCTGATTTTGGGGAAGAACAATTTGTGACGCCTGCTTGAACGGGTTGGTTTGTCATGTCCGGTCATGTCTTAAGTGCTCTCTACGGAACAAATCCTAAAATGGTTGGATAGTCGGATCGTCCTCATTACAAGTGGCTTGGTCAACATGGTGGCTTGGATAAACTGATTCATGCCTCAATGTTGGTGCAGGAGAGTGCTGTGTGCCATGGCAGCCGCGTGTCAGCTCAAAGAGAGGAGCTTTGAAAGACAAGGTTGCGACCACTGCTGTGACTCGCACAGTGTGGATGTCTGAAGGTTCTACACATAGCTCAAACTTAGCTATCTAGATTCTATGTAGCTCAAAATTGGCCTGGAGATTTCTATGGGGGATGATTTCCGTGAAGAATACACGGACCTCAAAAAACATGGCATTCCATTTTGCGCTCAAGAATGCACCTTTTTTGGCTTTTTCCGGTTGACCTTGTCCCTCTCAAAAGCATACGTCGCTGGGAGTAGCATCTGAGCCAGAAGAACAAGGAATCAGCATGAAATTTATGTTGCATCATGCTGCACGAGTTGAATTCAAGTGCATTGCTGTGGAACAAAAATGAATTGCATAGGGAAAAAAACAGCACAAACAGCACTTGGCAAAATCTTGAGACCTCCTAGGTTGTTGTGAAGCTGGCCGAGCAGGAACAGAGGTCTTTGAAGCTGGTCCTGCGGTTGGTGACCAAAATGGATGGATGAAATTTGTAGGAAATCTATCTGGAAATTGGAACGGGTTGAAGCCCCCGCCAACATTTTGTGTATCAACAAAAAGAGAAGCACCGTGTCCACCAGCTACGTCAAGCTACCACGTGTCAAAAGCTGGGGAATTGAGAGGTATTCTTCTTTTGTTAATCCACCAAGGTGTGTCTTACCGTGTCTTACCGGCACTCCAGTGAGAATCTCATCTTACTCAAACCGGCAAACGCAGCCCATGCCATAGAGATTCTCAAATGGGAGTATTCTTTGAAGTACCATGTTGAACAAATATCACCACAATGTTAATTATATAATGATATGACACAAATTCAGCAAGTCTCCCTTCATGGATGATGGAGATTTAGCTGTGATAAGCTACTTGAAGATGGAGATCAAGATTTTTTCGGAGAGATCGCTGAGATCAGAAATCAGGACGAGCAGGTCATGGGCTCCGGAACTTCGTGGGACAAGCAGCACCTCAGCTTAACTCAGCTTACGAGTACGGATAGTATGGCGGCGACCCCGTGACCGACTGGCATAAACAACTCACGAAGTGTTGGTTTCTGTAACTTATGTGGTTGAGGTTTTGCTCTCACATACGTATTATTTGGATTTTTTTGCCACCTCTATTTTTCAAAGATTAAGGCACGTGACTGAAACATCAGTTTGAAACAACTGACCAGTGCCAACCTGACATCATGCAGAAGTGTGTTTGCGGTGTGTTTGCGGTGTCAAGCTCGAGTAATAAAACAGAAACTGTTTGTGTCGAAAGATATTGTTCCAGTTGATACACCACTAAGGGTAGTCACCAGATATTCACCAGTTACTCCAAGCTGCATGTCAGGAAGATTTCCATGAGCTCGTCTGATAGGAGGCGGAGCCCCCAAGAGATGATATCTGTGGACGCTTCGGACGATGTCGTTTGGATTTCTATTGTTACTATATGGTTATTGATGGCTGCTAAATGACGAGCACAGCAGAAGGCACTGGGTCTTTGATTTGGTGAATAGAAGTACAGAACATTGTAGACCTGTACAAATCAGAGTGATTTGGTCATCTTGTTTCAACACGGAAGAGCCTTGACGCGATTCTGAATGCTGCCTGCTGCCTCTACTGCCCTAGTTGCCATCATGAGCTGAGCAGTGGAAGACATGATGAATACCTCATAGAAGGTGAAGAGTTTTCTTCGGGTGTCATCATGTATGAGCTATGCCAATATTTGCCCCACAACACAGCAGTTCCTGACCAGATGTAGCACCAGAGTTTTTGTTTGAGTTTTTGCGTACCATTATTGAAATGTGCAGGCTGGCAGAAGTTTTGGGCATAGCAAACCAGATCAAAGTCATAGCTTTTAATTTTGGACAAACATGTAGCGACCTGTAGAGACCCTTGGGCTGGCAGCTGGCAAGTGATGCCAGGGGCTTGGAGCCATGCTGACTCTCCTCCGGATGTGTTTGTTGACAACGACCACGGCTTTGGACTGCTGGACCAAAGACTTGACACCTGATAGATGTTGTCCCATGAACGACGACACACATTCATGTTTCGGCGGGCCATTCACCCATAGAATCTGTTGTACCTCGCCCACCCCGGTGCTAAGCGGTTGCAGCTGCACGTCTTTCTACTTGCAAGAAGCTGCTGCCTTTCTGCTGTCCATTCGTGGCAACTACATAAGCCCAGCAGAAGTCAACGGGTGGGATTGGAAGTATCATCCAACCAACTGCGATTCGGGAAGTTTGCGGGCAGCTTTAGCACGAGCTTCCAAAAGAACAGATGATGAATGTGTGAATTTAGAGAAGCTGCACTACCTCGTGTCGTGCGGTCTCCGGACTGGTTGGTGGTTGCAAGACAATCTTGCCATTGATGAATTCTGGAATGAGATCATGACTTTGTCCATCAAATTGTTGTCATCGACTTGCCACGGACTTCTCAGCCCACAAGAAGTTTTCCACAACTACAGACGATTTCAGGGGACTTACCTCTCGAACTCTGAATTCTGGAAAAGTAGAAGCTTTGAATGGCAAAGAAGTGGATCATTGGAAACACCAACATCTGATCCAAGGTGCAATGGAGTCACATTTCGGCGCCCCACTGTCCATTGTGCAGTAATGGGACGATTACCCGAAGAGATAGCGCTGGCGCGGTCGATCATGCAGACCTGGGGCAGGGATTGCGATTCGATTCAGATGTACGTTGCCCAGGTTCCAATGGGTGCAACCACCTGGCAAGATCGTAGATCTGGCATCCAAGTCATGAATCTTGCCAGGAGATATCCAGTTTTGCAAAGACATCCAGACCAAGTTGGCCATTTCTCAGGAGATTTGCAGTTCATGAAAAGCAAGTTTCAGACAACAAATCTAATCCGAAAGACTCTTGCCATGTGGCATTGGGTTGGAACCCAGGGGCCTCCTTCGGATTTTGTTTGCCGCTTGGATCCAGACACTCTGTTTTTAGTCGATCGTTTTCGGACATATCTGCATAGGCACTGCCTCAGGAAGAATAGCATGGTTTATCTCGGGCAAGTGCTTCACTATATGCAAAGGCATGTGGGTGCCTTTCCAGATGGTGGTTCCGGGATTTGCTTGCCATGGAAGGCAACTCAAAAGTTTGCATCTTTGTTGGAGGAACGAGTACATCAGTATGCCGGAGGGGATCAAGCTACAGGTTTGCCAGAGAGCTGCCAAATGCTGCCAGGGCATTTCGATGATGTGGTCACCGGTCTATGCTTTCAAATCATGGACCTCCTCCCTCATCATGCCCTGCAATCTTCGTCAGGGCAATATCTGTTCAATGGTGACATGGTACCACAGCACACCACGGGGACGTTGAACGGCAGCTTTGCCAACTGGAGTTTTTTTCGCCGCTTGCATCACCTATTTCAATGTGAGACTCATTGCGAAGATTGCAGCTGCAGCAGTATCAACCCAGAATTCTGGGTGGATGAAAAAACTGCAATCACTTTCCATAGATACAAAAATGCCACTGGAATGCGACTAGCTTACCACCAGCTGCGTGCTTTGTGAGACCTTGGCGCCTGTGGCAGATGCATTTCTCAACCTCCTGCAGCGTGTCCTTGCCTGCATGGTGAGTTGTAACAGTTGATGAAAAAAGTGCCGGCTGGTTTAGCCGTGAAACAAATTTTGTTGTGAAATTTGGGATAGGCGAAGATATTCTTCGATCGGCCAGCATCCGCCGATGATTTTCTGAAACCTGCCGGCATGATTATTGTACTACTGTTGGATACTATTGGACGGTTTTCTGCCTTCAAGATGAAGACTGATTTCCATTTTTTTTGATTTGAGTAGGTGGGCAAGAGTGAGATTTGTTTGAAGAATGACCTTTTAGACTTTTAGCTATATGGACATACTATGGACACAACATTACGTAACTCCTTCGTTTTCTTCGGAAATAGATCTTGCGTGTTCGATGGGATACCCTTCTTGGAGGCCCCCACCTTAATCGGGGGATATCACCACCAGCTCGTAGCCTGTCGCAGGTGGAAGCACGACATGACTGACTGAGTGCAATTGCAGCAACGGCCCAGATGAAATACGTGGTATGTGTTGATTGCTTTTTAGGACATGATGATAATCATGATGGTAAGATGCTTCGTCATAATATTGTTCAGATATAGGTCTTTATACCAGTAGTACCCGCACGAGGCAGGGCGGAAGTTGCCTTAGGGTTGTACTATAAGACCTTTCTTATCTATAGAACTTTCATGCGCTGTGTGCCAGCCAAGCCCGTGCGTGCGTGCTTTGTGCGAAGCTGTTGCGGTGTTGTCGTCCAAGAACATTCTTGACACTTCACACTGCACTGTTCACAGCGCGCACTTCACACTTCACACTTGCACTTCACACTCCACACTTCATCTCATCTCAAATCACGTGAGCTCTTCTCACCTCATCTCAGCTCTTCTCATATCATCCCATCTCTTCTTACATGTCATCTAAGTAAGTTGTTCTTCTTCTCATCCAAGCACTCATCAGCCCCTCTCTCATCTCCTTGAAGTTCTTCTCAACTCGTCTCAGGGCTGTTCTGCGCGCCAGAAAGCTCTTACTGTCAGAGAGAAGTCTCTTGCACAAAGCAAGATGCAGCCCACGAACCCGAATACACTCACCTAAAACACTTGTGTGAAACGGGTTGTTTGAACAGTCTGTATATGTTTCCCCTCTTACCGTACCAGTGCACTGTAAACTGTGGAATGCGGAAGGAGGTGGAATGCAAAGTGTCGAGTGTAAACTGTGAAGTGCGCAGTGTAAAGTGTAGAGTGTGGGAGTGTGGAGTGCGGTGCGTAAAGCGTAGAGTCTAAAGTGTGGAGTGTAGAGTGCCGAGTGTAAAATGTGGAGTGAAAAGTGTGCAGTGTAAAGTGTGCAGTGTGGAGTGTAAAGTTTAAAGTGTGGAGTGTAGAGTGTGGTGCTCAAAGCGTAGAGTGTGGAGTGTAAAGTGTAGAGTATGGAGTGTAGAGTGTGGAGTGTAAAGTGTAGATTGTGGGGCGGAAAGTGTAGAGTGTGGAGTAAACGTGTTAAGTGTTAAGCGTGGAGTGGAAAGTGTCAAGTATAAAGTGTAGGGTGTGAAGTGTAAAGTGTGGAGTGTAAAGTGTGGAGTGTAAAATGTAGAGTGCAGAGTGTGGAATGTAAAGTGTAGAGAGTCTAGAGTGTGGAGTGTAAAGTGTAGAGTGTAAAGTGTTAAGTGTAAAGTGCACATGTCAAGTGTATAGTGCGAAGTGTGGGGTGTAAAGTGTAGAGTATAGAGAGCAAAGTGAAAAGTCTGGAGTGTAAAGTGTAAAGTCTGGAGTGTAGAGTGTGGAGTGTAAAGCGTAAAATGTGGAGTGTAAAGTTTAAAGTTTTGAGTGTAAAGTGTGGATTGTAAAATATAGAGTGCGGAGTGTAAAAACTGCGGAATATAAAGTGCAAAATAAAAATTACAAAATATAAAATTTAAAAATATTTAAAATAAGGAAATATTACCGTATTATATTATATAATATTTTCAGAATATTTTATATTTACTACATAATTTCTATTTTCTTATTATTTGATATAATTTTATTAATGATTTTTAAAAAATATATATTAATATTATTAATAAATATATTTTGTACTTCGGACGTAAAATGAACAATTTATTTTTTTTTATAATGATTTTTTAATATAAAAATCCTATATGAATTTATAAAAATTATATTTTTTATATAAAATATTACGAAAGGTAGCTCTAGAGGGGCTACCTTGAGTTTTACTTTACGAAGTAAAGGGGAGGGCGGCTAGCCCTGTTACTTGATTTTTCAGGAAATTACTAGTTATTTTAATACCCCCCCCCCCTCTCCATACCTCCCACGCACCCTAAGAGCAGACTTAAAATACTGTAATTTACAGTATTTTTGTTCTTTTCGGATTAAGAAACCACATTTTGCTACATGGTAAAACCTCCGTAAATACCAGTGTTTTTGCTAGGTGCTGGCCAAAAAACATTGTAAATACCGTGCTTTTTACTACCAGAGGCAAAATATATCGTAAATACCGTGGTTTTGGGCTTCCGACCCGCCAAAAACATTGGTATTTACGGTGTTTTTTGCTCCGAGAGATGCAAAAACACGCGAAAATACCACCGATTTGACGATTTTCGGCCACTACGGAACCGAGCAAAAACGCTGCAGGGGTAACACCAACACCAACAAGAACAACAGCAACAGCAACAACAACGACAACGACAACCACAACAACAACACCAACGCACAACGCACAACGCACAAAGCACAAAGCACAACGCACA